TTTGGACTCTTCGGCGACCACATCAGAACTATTACCATGGTCTGTCACGATGGCGACATTCGAGACATCAGCAAGGCAAGCGACCCGGAGCTCTTCTGGGCCATCCTCGGCGGCAGTCCTGGCAACTTCGGCATCATCACCCACTACATCATTGAGGTCTACAAGTCCCAGAGCTACATCACCGACGCCCCTGGCAGCAATGGCTCCAGGAACCCACAGGGCATCAAAGCCCTTTGGCTGTACAACAAGGAGTTGCTCAGTACACTTCTCAACGCTGTCGCTGAGATGGCTGACGACCCTTCCGTACCGCGTGGCTTCGATCTCTGTATCAGCGTTCTTAGCCAAGACTTCCCCATTGCGACGATGTTCAAAGAGCTACAGGACGGCAAAGAATGGAGCAAGATGCAGCAGTTGATCAACGCCCAGATTGGAGAAGATATCGCAAACTTCCTCGAGGGTAAATTTCCGGCTGCTATCATCCTTTATGCTCAATGGTGCCCAACCAGCAAGACGGACAGATACGACGACAGCGTTGATGCCTGGTTCAGCAAGTTCAGAAACCTCAAAGGAATCGCGCTTCAATACAAGAGGCTTGACATGGAGATGGCCGACATGACTGGTCAATGGATCTTTCCAAAGGAACGCGAGTTCGAACTCCCCTATGAAAAGCGGGCGTACGCAACTAGCTCGAGAACTCTCGTCAAAGACAACTGGGTTCAGGCAGCAGTTGATCGCATCGACCTTATCTACAACCCAAAGTCGGCAATTGAGGGCCACAAAGGCGACAAGGAGTTTGAGCTGTATCAGAGGTGCAAGCTTGCAGTACAGATCCAGTGCTTCGGGGGAGATCATTCCATGTTCAACCTCAACAAGGACAATGGCACCTCGTACAGCTGGAGAGACAGCACCGTCGTCCAAGTACTCGATTGCTTCCATCAGGACGACGACGAGTCGAGGGAGATCGCCCAGGATTGGCAGGCTAAGAACGACTCTCTCATGAATGGACCCACCAGCCCGTTCAGCAAGCAAGATAAGCGCCTTCTGTGGGGCTCTTACGGCGACTGGAACCTCGGCGACAAGAAGGTTTGGCAGTGGTACTACGAGGATGAAGAGAAGTACAAGAGAATCGGCAGGGCGAGGGCCAAGGCTGACCCCAACGGGACGTTCACAGCGAACCCGTTTGCTGTTACGGCAGCCAAGTAGTTGTCGTTGGCTGTTTCTCTGTCGGCGATGCAAAAGTTGCTTTGATGTGTGAGCTCATAGTTTCAGTAGCTTCTACGATGAAGTTTGTTTGATCTTCGACATCTCAATCCTTTCATGTAATTTTAAGACCAAGTGACCGTCGGGGCTCAGCTTGGATATCGATAGATCGTACCTTAATAAATTGACGACACTTGCACTACATCGAGATTCAGATTCTCTCAAACGTCTCTTCCGGCGTGAAACTTGTTCCTGTTGAAAGATGTCGCTGAATCGGTAACAGTCAAGATTTGCCAAGTCGAGTATTGTTTCCGAGGGCCAATATTTTGGACCGAGCCAGGGAGACTTCCAGGGGTCTGACACTCCTAACTCTGCTTCTGCAAGTCACTGATGTTGTAAAAGTCAAGCTCCACGGTGACTCCAGATAACAATACCACAAATGTACCAGCGGCAATGATAACCCAAATAGCCTATGGCTGGTTAACGAGCCACTTTATAGACTTCCCCTCCGTTGCCGTTGTCAGTTGCCCGGGTGGAAAAGTGCGCTTGTCTTCTGGTAAGGAAGGGGGTCAACGTCGGCGTTTAGATCGATCAAAAGGCTGGAAAGGGTCTAGTCCTAGTTAAACGTGCCACGATCATACAGAACTGGGGCTGCTCATCGTAGGCTTATACCCCGAGATGCTGGCGCCAGAGGCCCTCTAAAATGCAAGAGTTACAAATGAGGTGGACTAATCTTGCTATGTCAGCCAGGAAAGAGGTGTCTGCTAAGCCTTCATCAGTCAGATATATTGCAGTCTCATCCTGGCTCTTTCGCTACTACCACAGTGTCTGTCCCCCTATGAAACCACCTTATGCCCAGGCAGAGATTGAACCTGTTGAGCTGAAGCCCTGGTCAGTAGAACGGAGATTCCTTGAAACCGAATCTATCACACGCGACCGATAGCTGGTATGCCATCATCACAGTTCGCCGTTATGATATGTCCTGTTGTCTTCCTGCTGGGATGATTGCGTGGCGAAAGCAGCCTGATTGGTAGTTCGATAGTAGCGCTTCTGACGAGGTTTTTGATGCTAACTTTCCTTGCCTGCTAAACCAATACATAGTCAGTTTTCCCTTATCACAGTTTCCCATTATGGTTCGTCCTACTGTCCCCCTGCTGGAACGATTGCGTGGCGAAAGCAGCCTGATTGGTAGTTCGATTGTAGCGCTTCTGATAAGGTTGTTGATGCTAACTCTCCCTTCCCGCGGATTTGCGCTGGATATCGTAATGGGCGGCAGAAAACGAAAATCGCCTAAATAAATGTAACCACAGCGCCATTTCATGCCAAGTGCGACGCAACAGTCCGAAAGTTCCTGCTCTTGCGCTCACCTTCATGATCCTTAGCCAGAAGCGCCTCGCACCAACATGTCGCCCATTACACTATCCAAAGAGCACGAATGCGCTCATTGTCAGAAGGGTTTTCGTACAGAAATTGCAAAGAATCAACATGCTCAGATGAAACACCCTCCCAAGGCTACCCAGAAAATGACCATAGCCAGTGAGCCGCCTTCGTCCGCGGCAACGCCGTCTCTCACTTACCGAAATATCGCGTACACAATCCTTTCCGCTGCCGAACTAAATGTCATCAGATTTCGACTCTCAGAACTTTGCCATTCAGAGGAGCGCCTCCGGAAAGAAGGGTACAGCCTGCCAACCGGCACTGGAATCCAGAATGACCACGACCGAAAATCCAGAACCGATCTCCCATGTCCCGACACAAACCCGTCAGCTCCTAAGACTGCGGCCATCGTGCTAGACTGTGAGATGGGCGGCACTTTCAAGGGAGAGAATGAGCTGATTCAGATAACAATGATCGACTTTCTGTCAGGCAAGATATTGCAGAGCTGTCTTGTCAACCCCTCAAGGCCTATTATAGACTGGCGTGAGGATATCACCGGTATAAGCGCTGTTAGTATGCAGGAGGCCGTTGCAGAAAACAAGGTCCTGCATGGCTGGGAAGCCGCTCGTGCTGAGCTTTGGCGATTCGCTGATAGAGAGACAATTCTCATCGGACAATCTGTCTACAACGACTTGAAGGTATTGCACGCTTCTCACTCGAGAATCATCGACTCGGCTATCGTTACTGCCGAAGCCGTGCTGGGGAAGGATTTGAAGATTCGAAAGAGATGGGGCCTGATGACGCTCTGCGACGAGCTCCTAGGAATCCAGATTCGCAAACCCTCCCAAACGGGTGGGTGTGGAGTTCACGATGCTTTGGAAGATGCTCTTGCAACGAGAGAGGTGGTGCTGCTATGTGCCCGAGAGCCAGACAAGCTGAGACACTGGGCTAACGCAGCGAGAAAGGCTTTCTTCAAGAAAAAAATCCGGGGCAGCAAGCAGACGCGCCATCGACCTAGAAGCAGACTACCTGCAAGGCTTCCCCAAGGCAGCTTGAGGTGGGAGGATGTAGTGAACTGGGAAAATATTTGGCCGAAATCGCCTCCCAACTGGGACTATGAATTCAGGGACGACTACGACGAAACATTGAGGTGGGAGGATGTGGTGGACTGGGCAATTTGGCCGAAATCGCCTCCCGACTGGGACTAGAGGCATATCAAGAACTGTGCTTTTGTTTTGACGCTGCTTATGTATGGTTCTTTTTTCCACTCAGCTACAAGTGAACTAGGCAGTAACTCTTGGAAAGATGGTAAAAATGGTGTCCCGTCCGTTACACCAACCGAGCAATGTTACCATGGCATGCCTTAGATTCAGACTACTTTCAGCAAATGAATGCGTGAACTAGTGCGAACATTGCCGCGAACACTAGGCCTCTCGTGTCGGAGCTTGTCGCCGCCGTCGTTGGCCCAGCCGACCATGTTATAAATCTCAAAGGTGTAGAGCAAGATTCTATCCCTACCGAGACCAATCAGCGGGAAAGGAAGAGTAGACCATGCGTCGTGCTTTCACCCGCCAGTAGTAGCAGTCAGCAGAGGGAACCACAGGCGGTTCGGGCTCGGGCTCTTTCGTGGCCGCGGGAGTGGCAGGCGGCGCTGTTGTCGCTGGTTTGGCTATCGTCGTTGAGGTGGTCACGGGCCTGTTGACGGGATCTCCAAAACCCGAGGGGCTCCCTGTCGGCCTCGGTACACAGTAGTAACCAGGGAGGCAGGATCGGGGGCGGGCCGACGATGTCCCAGTCATCGAAGCCAAAGTTTACCGGAGGCGGAAGCCTGCTCTGGAGTTAGGAAACAGAAACACCGGACGAGGTGGGAGTGGGGGGCTAATCGTACGGCCCGATGATGCTTGGTGAAAGGATGAGTTTCCAGCCATATACCTTCAAATCTCTCAGTGTTGATGCAAAACTAGCCATGTTTTCGTCAGTATGTACAATTTCGCGGCGATTTCGACCATGCACCGGCTGACATTATGGAACCATAACTCATCACATTTGACTACGATGGAATTGTCCTCGGTGTTTCCAGTGCAATGTCCTCCAGAGCACTGATTGTCGAGAGGCTCGGTGATGGGCACAATGTCGGCAGGCGCTAGTAGAAAAAATTCAAGTTAATTATTAGTCGTAGGAGTTGAAGGCGGGTTGACTCACGGAATTCGTCAGTGTATATGGGTAAGGGGGATGTTGTAGTCTGGGTCGGGGTCACAATAGGAAGATCCCCATCATTGTCGTCTCCAGAACCGGTTAAGAACCCACCGCACGTGGAAGGTCACTTCGGAGGGCAACCTTGAGTAATCTGGGGCCATGGAGGCAACTTTATGTCTCTGGTTGTGATGGTGGTTTTGGCATCTGTCACGTAAGTGAGGGTGACTGCGACTGGGCCCAGGGCAAGACTGGTACACGTTGCAAACCGGCCACCATCGGTAACAGACCCAGTGATATTGACGTTTGAATATGAGCGGACGGAATTGGTCTAGTATCTGGTATATATCATACCGTTGGCTAGATACTCTTATTGTCTCCTTCGAACTCGCCCCTCACACATCATCATGGGCTGGTTGTTGCGCAACAGCCTTGCATTTTTTTTTCTTCACGACCGCCCCCTCCCATCCCCGGGCGCGGCGCCGGGCTCCCGGATCATGCTGAACAGCCGGATCGCGTCGCCAGCGTCGTCACAGACCATGTCCCTCTGGACGACGAACCCCCACCGCCCGTAGATGGCCGTATTGGGCACATCCCTGCTGGACTCGAGGTAGCACTTCACCCCTTCGGCGTCGGCCCGGCCCGTCACGGCCTTCATCATCGCGGTCCCCACGCCCTTCCCCTGCGCATCGGGCAGGACGACCATGATGTTAAGGAAGTAGTAGCCCCGCGGGTCGGTCCAGAGGTCCCGCTGGGCTTTCGCCTGCGCATCTTTCCAGATGTAGTATCTCTTATTCAGGGAGGACTCGTCAGCTCCCCCCTTCGTCAGGGGTATTGGAAGGGGACGATATCGACGAGGGGAGGGACGGGGCGTGACGGACGTACCCTGACGTTCAACCCTCCCCGGCCGTACCACAGGTTGTAGTTGACCTGGCCGAGCCACAGACGCCAGCCCTCGAGCCAGTCGGTCCACGTCGGCGGCGCCCCCGCGGGCTTAGGCGGCAGCCACATGGCCACGCCCAGCACCTCGTCGCTTCCCTCCTCCTTGGCGACGTGGAAGATGCCGTTGCGCATGCCCCAGCGCATGCGGAGCGCGAGCGAGGCATAATTCCTTTCGGAACTGAACTGGATGACGGGTGGCGATGTTTCAGCGAGATGTTTTCCCCTTCCCCTCGGACCCTTTCGAGCACTCCGGCCAGATATTCAGCGGTTGGTTGTCGTGGGTCATGTGTTCGACCGCACGGGACAGCCGCCGACGGCACAAAAATAAGATAAAAAAAGAACACTCACCTTGGACTGGTCGTAGACCCAGACGTTGTACGGGTCTCCACTGAAAGCCTGCCTTTTGACCGCATTTCGTTTTTTGTAAGAATACGAGCCGGCTGCAACGTTGTCGATGGTAAAGGTGCGCTACGTACTGTACGGCTTTCACGGCCCCTGGGATATCCGCCTCCGTGAGGTCCGTCACACGAATCGGCATGTTCTCTGGGGGGAGGTATAAGGCGCGGTTGCAATATGAGATAAAAAGAGCCACTCGGTCTCGATTGAGCAATCGGCGGGATGTATATGAACGAGTCTCGTAGTTCCCCAGGACGGGAGTCTTCGCTTCCTCTATATTGAATAGTGCCTATGCGAGGAGCAGCGGCACCCCGGAGACGTCATCCGTGTTCGACGACGACGGCCGACTCCACCGCCTGCCTCGATTCGGGTGGTCGGTTTCCTGCGGGGTAGATTATCGGCAAGAAGATAAGATCGCAGACGGCATACACTTTCCACGAAAGGAATGGCGGGGAGGGGGGAGGAGGGGTTCTTCCGTCCCCCTCGCCGTTACGCTGCTGCATGACCCGTCGCCGAGAACCGAGAGCGATCGTCCATGTTCGGTGGCGGAGGCGAGCGAGCGCCAGAAAAGGGGGGGGGGGGGGCGACCCCGGTGCGCTGCGTCCCGGCGTCCCGGTCGAGCTGGCGCCGGAGAGTGAGGTCTCGGAATGACGGGGGGGGGAAACGGTAAAGGGTAAATAAAGCCTACCGATGGCTAATCAATCAATAGGGGGGGTAGCTGACTTTGAACGACAGCCTAAAGTGTGCTGAACCTTGGCTTTGGGTGGCATCCAAAGAATCGAGAAAGGCAAAAAAATCAATTGGCCACTGGAGGGGGCGTCACTGCGGGCGTGTGTGAGATGAGGCGAAAGGGAGGCGCTGAGGCCACTCTCATCTCATTGAGACCGTGAGTGAGACGGGTTCGAAAAGACAAAAAGTTACGCAGATTGGTTTTACTTTGCAGCACTTTTGAGTTGCTCTTGCGATCATATGCGGTTAGGCGCGTGCAACCTCACGTGAGACCGCCATTACTACGCATTTCACTTTGCTTGATGATGCAGATGCACCTCGTAAAATGGATGGTCAATAACCTGTATGTTCTCGGATGAATTACGATTATGGTAGTATGCTATGCTTCCTTCGCCATGAATTTTTGTGAGAGGGGAAAAATGTCCACCGGGAACTCCTATGGTGGATGAGAAGAAAGGCCGAGGCTCTCTTGGCCCAGCCACCGAGTGAAATGAAAATTTCATCTCAACGTCAACATTTCGCCGTGCCGCCATGCTTTTTCTCGGTCAATGGTTCGTCGTCCAAAGCCCGCCAACGCTAATAACCCGCCCGCTCTTCAGACAAAAACAAGAGAATCCAATGATCGCGCATCTCGCCCCTTCTCACTGATGCTTCTTGGTATCCTGCGGGATTGGGTTGCCCTTGTCATCCACCAGCCCCTTTTCGCGCATGACGTTGAGGGCTTCGTGGAGGGGGTCCAGCTCGGGCTGAGGCGCGCGGTGGGAGTCGAAGTAGTTATCGGCCCAGGTGAAGTACTGGCCGTAGTTGACAGTGAAGTACATGTGGTGCAGGGTGTGGTGGGCGGGGCTGTTGATGTACTTCTCGAGCCAGTGGCCGGAAATCATGTCGCCGTCGTGGATGAGGATGGTCCAGATCTGGACAAGGACGAACAGGCATAGGTAGAGGTACTTCTGCACGGGACAGAGGAAAACAAAGATGCTGGCGACATGTCAGTACGGGTGAGATATCAGGCGTGGCGACCCCAATCGACACTCAACTGGCGACATTTTTCGAGGGCGGGCTGACTCACTGGTATGGCAGGGACTGGACAAATCCGTCAACGGGATGGAAGGCGAGCGCAGCCCAGGGCGTAGGAACTATGGGAAACATGGCATGTCAGTCACTTGAAGCAATAGCATGGCAGAAGGGGACAGGAAGAAGGAAGAAAAAGAGAAAAGCACGTTAAACCATGTTGGGCTAGTGATGGACTTACCAATCCACTTGTGGTGTGGCTTGTGAATGTACTTGTAAACGGAAGGGTGGTGCTCGAGGCGGTGAATCCAGTAGATGGTAATGTCGTTCCAAACTATGAACAGAAGGGCGGAAACAGCCATCCACTGAATGCCGTACTCGTCGACGCGGGAATAGAGCAGGCTCTTGCCACGGACCTCGGCGAGGAAGAAGGGCAGAGTAAGGACGTTAATGACTGGGACAGCCTTCATGGAGGAGATGATTTCCTGGCGGATCTGGTTCTTGAGGAAGCGCGGGTGGTACTCGAGACGGCGGTCGAAGATAAAGTAGTAGGAGAGGGCGCTGAAGATCCAGTAGAGCATCGAGGCGCCGATCTGGGTGATGATGAGGAGGGAGATGCATTGGCGCAGGATGCTGTCGCGCGGCCATGCGGAGCCGTACGAGAGGGGTGACAAGGCGGTCGTGGACGAGTTCCAGTCTGACGAGGAGACGAAGGCGGCGCCGGTCGCGTTGGGAGAAGCGGCGCTGGGCGCGGGGACGAAGTAGGCGTAGGCCTTGTCCAAGACGAGGGGATCGAGGATTTCGAGAGCGACGTCCATGGTGGGCGAGCAGGAAGTTCTCTCTCACTCTCTCTCTCTCTCTCACTCTCTCTCGCACACACACACACTCTCTCGCTCTCGCTCCCGCTCTTTGGGTTTCGCGGTCTTGCAACGGGGGTGGGTGGGAGTCGAGTCGAGTCGGATGAGGTTGCGATGTAGTTGAAAGAGGTGTGAAAGCCTGTCTTTAGGGGGAGGATTCCAATCCGTGAGATGTTGCAATGGAGTTGCGCTCGCGGCGTTCGGGTTTAGGTCAGGTCATGTCAGGGGCGAAACTGACGAGGGCCATTTTTTCTACCCTGGCTTTCGGTTGCTCCATCCAGATTAGTCAAGGCTGCTTGTCACTCTTGTGCTGAGCCAAGCCGAGCATTATTCGGTCCGACGGGCAGGTTGGTTGGTTGGTGCTGGAGCTGCCAGGATACAGCGGAGTGCAGCGCTGTGCTTTGCCGCTCTTGTGCGTGGGCGCGAATGGTAACGAGGGAGGTACTGAGTCAATTGCAGCGCGCAAATAGTAACCTGAGGTAACAATGTAGAAAAATCCAGAGAGGGACGGGAAAGGGAAAAAAAAAAAAAAAGGAAAAAAAAAAAAGGGGACCACCAAACCAGGGGCGAAGCGATTGATTGCACACGCCGCTAAACTTCATCTGTACATCTAGAATGGGGCCGGATGAATCATCCAGCCAGTCACAGACACACCTCGTTCCCTGGGTGGGTGGAAACCGTGAGATAGCGGACCTTGTGTTTGTATGTACCTGGGTACGTGCACCGAGGTACCGATGTCATTTGAGAGGCGGTGATGTGGCGTGCTCTGCCGGTGCCAAAAGGTGTCAAGCAGGACAGAGTGACATGAGTGACATAGTCGCATGGCATGGGCGACACGAGCGACGTCAGGTACACTAGGTGACTACTACCAGATAGCTTATCTGTCGCGTGTGGCCAGGCAGGGCAGGGCAGCGGCGGCGCTCTTGCCTCGATCCAATTTGCCAATCTCGGTCAGTGCTGCCCGTTGATCTCCGTTGATTTACCGTACTGTCAATTCGCTGCGCTTATTGGCCTGTGACTTCATCCCTACCCCTCTCTCCAAAAAACTTGTTGGGCTGCAGTGAGTTGCTTCCAATTCCTTCCCTCTTCCTTCCACTTACTGATGATGGGCGGGTACGTATCTCTCCCCCTCCCCTCCTTCCTCCTTCCTCCTTCTCACTTACCTTACCTACCGAGGTCCCTACCGATAGTGTACCGTAATGTCAACACAGCTCCTTCCCCTCCGAGATGTCGGCAAATCGGTGTGTCGTGCTCTCCGAAGACGGAGCCCCACAGGTAAATTTGGCGCGTGCGCATGGAAAGGGTAGGGGCGGGCTGCTCGGGTTCTTGAGATTCCAGTCGAACCATCCGTCATATCCATGGTGCCATTTTCCTTCCCATGCTCGCCACCCCTTCGGTCTATGCGTGCGTTATCCTTTTCTGCCATCTGGATTTTCTTGGGATCGTCGCGCTTGTCTGTTCCAGCTACATGACGTCTCCGGTCTGCAAACCAAATGCGCTCGCTCTCTTCTCGGCGATCGGGGTTGTCGCCGTCGACGGGACTCGGCCATGTCTTAACTCCATATGCTCTTCGGCTTGCTCCATGCGCCACGGGCGTTATTGCACTGAAACCACCGCCCAATCATACGCCACGGCATGGGGCTTCTCCCCGTATTCGTATCGCTCCTTGAAGGCTTGGCACGTCCTTCCTCTCTAAAGCCAAGCTCGGAACATCGCATCCAGCCAACAAACTCCATGATGTCGCGGGACAATGAATCCCATCCTCACAGCGCCGCTGCTATGGCAAGCCATAGTTTCAATTACCCCATGGCTTCGTCGCTCAAGCGACGGCGTAAATGAGACCTGTGAGCACCTCGAGCAGCGCTCACCCAGTCTTGTAATCTTATCCGTGAGGCTGCTTGCTGCCTAACCCATCTGGGAAACTCGGTACAGATGACAAATCGTCTTACAGCGGCCTCCGGCACCAGCGCAACGAACTTGACTTCATGCTTGTCGTCGGCCGATGGCATCATCTTGGGACGGCGGCCAAGAACATCATAGTTGCATACCCGAACTCGTGCCCTATCTGGCCAAGTCCCAAAGGCTATTGACGACAGCCCTGTTCCAAACCAGCCGCGTGAACAAGCCCAGCACAACATGCCCAACATCGGGAAACCTAGTCCCAACTGCCACCTCTGTCGCCAGAGGAGGGTCAAGGTGAGGAAACACCTGCAGGACCCCCTTCTTTTGTATCCGGTGCAGCTAACCGCCAACAGTGCGATCTAGCCAGGCCTCAATGTCAGAGGTGCGTCAAGTATGGGGTCCAGTGTCCCGGGTACCGCGACGACGACGAGCTGCGCTTCCGGCACACCGATTCCGCGACGTTCGGGGACCGGAGACGGAGGAAGCAGCAACAGACCCACCCGGTGTCTTCGCCGCCGGCTTTGGAGGCGGTTGCCTTTGCGTCCGGTTCGCCGGCGTCGCCCGCGTCGTCCCAGCAATCAGACGCCTCGAGATACCAGTCTGCCGGTACGCCTCCCCTGCCTCTTCTGCGATCCGTCCATCAACACTGGACGGCTGAGGCTATACCGCTCGTAATCAGCTTCTATCCAAGTTTGGACTTCCTCCCGGGAATGTTCAGCCGTGTTCAGCCCGACCACTGTCTCGCTCTTGCTGGCCAAGTCTTCGCCAGGGCATACATGATCAACCGCTTCAAATCGAAAACGGACTACCGCGAGCTTTCCAAACTTCTGGGTAGCGCCTTGGCATCGGTGCAGGAGGCCATCATGAGTACCAAGGCGCACAAATCCGATTCCACAATCACGGCAGTCTGGATGCTCGGGAACTACGAGGCAAGTCCGCAGGACTCATCATCATATTGACCTGCCAAGGCCAAACGAAATAGTTTTTTTTTCTCTTTCTTTTTTTCTTTTTTGGGCAAGCACTTACAGGTTTTCTTTTGGCAGCTGATAATGGGCGACGTGGGGCGTCGGCGGTCCTTCCTAACAACCAAGGAACGAGGGTTCGCTCCCGAATCTCCCTGGCATATCCACGGCCAAGGAATATTGAGCCTCCTTCGCGCAAGAGGCGACCGCCAGCTGTACACACCAAGGGGTCGGCAAATTTTCTGGCTCATGCACAACATGCTTGTAAGCCAGCCCAGCGAGTCTTTTGGCATTCTTTTCACTCACACCACACCAGCAAATACAGTACACCCTCACAAACACGCCTTGCCCCCCGGAATTCGACCACTGGCTCAACATCCTAGAACAGACTATGCATCCCCTTGAGGCTTTTTTGCTGCGAATCGGGCGGTCCATCTCCTCGACGTGTTCTCTGTTATCCAGACTGATACCCCTCGTCCGCAGCGGGGACACGCAGCGGGCCGTCGCTGCGTATGAGCCGCTCCTGTCCGAGTTCAACCACGCAGAGCTCACCATGTCGGAATGGATGCAAGCGGCGCTTCAACATCCAGTAGGACCCAAGACAGAGCTCACCATGTCGGAATGGATGCAAACGGCCCCCGAAGATCAAGAGGGACCCGCGCCCACGTTCGAGTACTTCTGGAACTCATGGCGCAGCGCGCAAATCAAGGTCCATCACATGATGATCCTCCTGGCCAATCTCGTCGAACACGCGCCCGACTGCCCTTTCAGCCACGAAGCACTGCAGTCGCGTAGAGAACTTTGCCTGCAAGTTATTGCGGCGTCGAGCCGGGACATCTTCAACACCATTCCGACGTCTCTGGACTGCAAGGCGCCTAGGGCGGACTCGACCTCGCTGGCTGCCTATCATGATGCCGTCCGGCTGATATGGCCGCTTACCCATGTGTACATCTTCCCGACGACGCCGACCCATTTGCGGGTGGCGGCGAGGGAGGTGCTGCTGCGAATAGGGACGGAGCAGGGGATAATGGCGGCTCTCGAGCCGCGGCCGGGATTGGCTAAATTTTTTCCCTCGGAGGCGTTGAAGGGCATTCCGGTTGATGACATGGATAACAGCGAAGGTTACTTGCCATGTATCGTGACTAAAGCCGGGCCGAACGGTCGCATGCCATGACGACGAACCGTATCTGAGATGCCACAAGCAATGACCCAAGAACAGGCAGTCGTCGGTTGCCTCCGTTGTGTTGTTCGTTGTTCCATTGATGGCCGACTAATCGGTGGATGATGGCGCACAGCCTCAGGTTCTGCTACGCTTCGGTGCACCAGTTCACCCACAGCCCTATTGGCTGGTCTACGATCTTCCCACTAGGGCAGCAAGCGTCAGCCCCAATCGTCGCAAAACGGCTAAACGGTCCCAAGACTATCGTTCTGTTGGGCTCCCGCAAGCAAATCGAAAGCCTGGCATCAGTGGGTTCGGGGGACAGCGAAGCTTGTTTCGACGTAGGTTAGTGCTGACCTGCCTTTCAAGGCGAAGGCCCGCCCACTGGTGGGTTCGCGTCAATCAATACGGCATTTGCGTGCCGGTACAAGCCACCCTCTATACCGCATGGGGGAACTGATTCGACGGTCCTCGAATACTGGGTCGATTGGGGCTCAGCCGCCAACCAGATAGACAAGTGATACCGCATGGGGAAATGCATTCGAGGGTCCACCGCTGCGGTTAAGGAAATCGATTTTAGGGTCCACCGTCGCGGTTGGGGAAACCAATTCGACCGTCATGGTCTGCCCTATGCTGGGGGGATGGAGTCAGCTACCAACAAGATGGACAGGGGGCGCAATACAAAAGATCTTTTTCAGGCGCGCCTTTGCGAGCTCATGAGGACATGGATTCGGACCGTCGAGCATCATTGGCTCCCACCTTGGATGGCTGGGTTGTGGCTTGTAGGAGTTGTCGCTTGGTCGCATTCATAGCCCGCCAACAAGCACCAAAGGATTCAACTACTCGTGTGATCGACGGTGTGAAAGACCCGAAATGACTCTACACTACGCTTCTGCCTGTGGACGGGGCGAAGACGAATAAGAATAAATGCACCTGCTCGACTCTCCAAACATGGTGCTTCCAGCCTCATCAGTCTGATTCAACCACCCAAGTCAACAATCGACACCCGACAGCGATGAATGCGTTACTCCAGGCCAGAGCCGATGGCGACTCGGCCAAAGATGTTTGCCCAGAAATCTCCCTCACAGAAAGTTGGTGCAGCTGATGGATCCCAGATCCCATACCGATGGCATCAAAGACTAACGTCGTACCCAACCCCTAGATGCGTCTCAACCCTTATTCGGCAGCATGTCCTTCCACACGTTCAACATGATCCTGTCCGGCAGCTTCACCGCCGCGTCCTGCCTCATCATCTTCTCCCTGATGTTCCTCCACGCAACGCACCTGAGCAAGAGCAACGAGCAGATCAAGTATGAACCCGTACCCCTCCCGACGTATGGCGCGCAACGAGAGGACCCCTCTCTAACAGTGGCAGGATCCTGCGCATCTCGCTCCTCATCCCGTTCTGGTCCATCTTCTCCTTCCTCTCCGTCTGCTTCCCGACGGCTGAGGTCTACCTCCACCCGTGGCTCGAGTTCGTCCAGTCCATCTGCCTGGGCACCTTCTTCCTCCTGCTGTGCGAGTTCGTCTCGCCCAGCGCGCGGCACCGGGATGTCTTCTTCGCCGCGCTCACGGTGAAGAACAAGAAGGCGGCCAGCGGGGAGGAGAACGGCCTCGAATGGTTCAGGGTGGGTTGCTTTTCCCCCCCCTTCATTTCCGTGCCCAGACGTCGTGTGATCTGGTTTCCTGACGCTCGCGCAGAAAATGTGGTTCGCTGTCTTCCAGTATCCCGTCGTCTCTCTGTTGGTGGCCATTTTGACCGCCATCACTCAGGGAGCGGGTGTATACTGCGAGTTCGCAAGTAAACCACACTTTGCCAAGCTCTGGGTAAGCATACGTTCCCATGGATCCTTACTCGGGACCCTGAACCGGTGCTAACAACCCGAAGTTGTCCATCATAAGCAGCGTCTCGCTCACGCTGGCGCTCATCACAGTGCTCAGGTTCTTCATGCAGCTCAAGTCTCAGCTGAAAGAACATCGACCAATTGCCAAGTTTGCGTCTTTCAAATTAGTGGTGACTCTAACCTTCCTTGAGAATGTAAGCCTGCCCCCTCCCCCGGGTACCCATCTCGAACCGACGCGAGCCCTAACCTCTCCCCCGTAGATCATCTTCTGGATTCTGCACGACACCGACGCCATGAAACCGACCGCGACGCTGACGGAGGCGGACCTCCGCATCGGCATCCCATCTATGCTGATTTGCCTCGAGATGCTGCCCATCGCGGCCTTCTTCCACTACGCGTACACGTACCGCCCCTACGTCATCGGGAGCGACCGCGCCAGCCGGCCTCTCGCCGCCGACCACGAGGCGTACGCGCCCCAGACATATTCCGGTGGCCCGGGCGGGCTGTGGGCGCTAGTCGAGATGTGGAACCCAACGGAGATCGTTGAGGCCATCGCATTCGGGCTGCGGATGAAGGCGGAAGAGCGGCGGCAGCAGCGCGCCCAGAAGGGGTGGCAAAGTGCACAATACCGACAGGTGGAAGGGGGCTACGAGATGGGCGGAAGATATTAGAGAGGGGGAGAGAGAGAGAGAGAGAAAGAAGTACACGCAGTCGGTGAGCTCGGAAAGCCGGTCACGATTGTCTTTGGACGTTTTTAACGAGCGATATATCCCGAAATTGACTTTGCGTTTACATCTATCCGATAGTTATGCCTACAAGCCAGGCCAAACCCCTAGCCCTCCCCTCCTCCTTCCTCTCACAGGGCATTGACCTTTGCAGCGTGCTCGTAGACGAGCGGCTGGGCCTCGGCGTCGTCCAGGTAGATGGTGAAGCCGTCGTCGTGGTTGCGGCCGTACGAGTAGCCCGAGTAGCCGAGCTGCCAGTACATGTCGGGCATGCCCTCGTCGAGGGCGATGGCCTGCCAGCGGGCGAGGACCTCGGTGCGCGGGGTGAGGTTGATGAGGCCGGTGAACTGGAAGCGCTTGGCGGGGGTCAGCCAGCCGTACTCCTCGTGGACGACGGGCTTGCCGGCGCGGCGGCCGGCGGCGGCGTGCTCGCGGATCCAGGTGTCGGTCCAGGAGACGGTCTTGTACCACCAGTCCGGGTAGGAGTGGAAGACGCCGAAGTCGACGTCGGGGAGGGCGAGCTCGGCGTCGAAGTCGCCGCCGTCGGCGCCGTTGTAGGCCCAGTCGAGGTTCCAGGCGCGGTCGAAGCCGCCCTCGCCGCCCCAGGTGACGAGGTGGTCCGGGTCGACGGACTTGACGTGGGCGCTCATCTCGGCGATCCAGGCGCCGAGGCGGGCCGGGGTGCAGTCGGAGCTGCGGGGGAGGTTGCGGACGGCGTCGGCGCCGCAGCGGGGCTCGTTGGCGAGCTCCCAGGCCATGATGGCGGGGGAGTCCTTGTGCCGGGCGACGAGGGCCGTGACGTAGCGCTTGTAGGCGTCCTTGATGGCGGGGACGTGGTAGAACTAGAGGAGGGGGGGGGGGGGGGGACGGCCGAGGGTGTTCAGCATCCGAGGAGGGGGACGGGGACAGGAGGAGGAAGGGGCGGAGAAGACTCACGTCGTCGTGGTACTTGCCGCCGAGGTTGACGGTGTACACGTCCATGCCGCCGTAGTCGGCCCAGTTGTTGGTCAGCGCGACGACGAGCTTGACGCCGACCTTTTCGGCGGCGGCGACGACGCCGTCCAGGGCCTCGACGTTGACGGACGACGTGCCGTCGGCGTTCCACCGCTGGAAGACGACGTCGGTGTCGCCGGCGCCCTCGTCGCCGTACTTGGGGAGCCCGTTCGGGTTGTAGGTGGCGTTCTTGTCGTTGAAGCCCCAGGTGCGGATGACCTTGAGGCCGGCGTCCCTCGCGGCCTTCAGGCCGGCCTCGACGTCTGATTGGTTCTATACGGGTAGACCATTTCGTCAGTTCTCCTTTCTCTTTCTCTCGGTCGCACGCTCCGTCTCCGTCTCCGGCCATTCCCTTCCCTTCCCTTCCCTTCCCTCCCAAACTAGCCAGAGGCGGTTTTCGAGGGCTTGCTTACTTTGGTGAAGGGCAGGTAGTAGGCGTTGCTGCCCGCAAAGTGAAAGTCCTCGCCGTCGAGCTGGAATCTTGTGCCGTTGACCGTCACGAAGCCCTCCTTGTCGCTGGCCGCGGAGGCGGCTCCGCTGGCCAGGAGGCTGATCGAAAGCAGGCCGGAAAGCCTGGGCAGCAGCATCATCGTTGCGCGGGATCTTGTCGTCGAACGGGACCTTTTTTTTTTTTTTGTGCAACTCTTCTGAATTCTCTCGTCTCTTGACTTGCATAGGCGCTCGCAACAATCCTTCTCCTTCTCCCTTTCCCCCCCTTCAATGAACGACGCGCGCTGTGTCCATATTTAATATTTGATCCTGGCTCTTGCGATATCTGAGGGACCTGGTGCTTTCTGAACAAATAACAGAAAGAAAGGCACTCCCAGCTTCCTGATCGGTCACGGAGACTGTTAGCCCGCGTGCCAATGGACACGACCTTGCATGTCGTTGGAGATGCCAAGGTGAGGGGAACGACGCACAATGCCGTTCTGGTCTGACAGTTGGGGTTCGTCTAATGCCGTAGCACGCAAGACTGGATTTGGGGGAAGCTTTGCAGGCCAGGGGAGGCGACGGTACCTGGCGAGATTTCAATATCGACTTTGGAATCTTTGGATACGTCGTCATTGATGCTACCCTACTGGCGACGATGGTGGTTGTGGTGGTGGTGGTGGTGATAAGAGAGACAACGGACCAAAATCCGGTCTTGGATATGTGTTTAGCTCTCATCTGGCTTCTCGACTCAATACGGCCTGGATCAATGACTGGAAGCAGTGGTTGGCAAAGGAGGCCTGCGGGAACAAGCATACCTATAGGGTCATCAAGCCGACGGGGATGGCTGTCCCTACTGGCGCGGAATCAACCTACGATCAATCACGATTCCCGCAACCCCCTTCACATAACACCGCACCCTGATCACACCTCCCTTCCTTGGCCGCTGTGGCTTTGCCGTTGCCGCGGGGTAGCAGCAGAAGCAATGACATCGTGGTGCTATCAGAACCGGGGCTATTATCACATGCACATGATGCGTAGGACTGCGGGTTCTGTGTGTGTACGTGTGTGTGACTGAAGACCAGGGGGGATTTCTTTTCCAACGGCCGCTCTTGTCTTGCCGAGGCACACGTTGTCGACCAGCCTCATCTGTCGAGATAACCCCCCCCACGCGCGCGCGCGCTGGGTCACTTCACTGAGTGTGTTGGTGCGGGGTAGCTTCCAGACCAATGAATGGCCCGCCTGTGGCGCAAGACGATGGTGGTTTTGTTTGTATGGCTTGACTGCAACTCTTTGGGGTTCGGTGGGGATGGGGGATAGATGGGAAGTTTGCATCATCACGAGCTCTTAGATGATTGTATGGATGTATGAGTGGAATGGGTGGAGTGGTGTTAATTGTAGCGCGAGCAACAACTAATGTGGCGCCTAAGGTGAATGGATATCAGCGACGAATCGAGGTGCACGGCCACACACAGCAAGCCACCTCAACAGGGCATAAAAGTATCGTGCTACCAACCAGCCACCCACACGAGCACGGCTCAGGTGTATGCAAAAACAGATGGTAAATCCCACCAATTGCAAAAAGACGAGCCGAACAGCTCATTTGTGCTTATGCCTCGTGGCGGAATCGAACCGCCGATCTTCTCATGTCACCAGGGTACTAGTGAGACGCTATACCACTTAGCCAACAAGGCTTGTTTTGCGGGACTCAAATTGGGAACTATGATCCATTTCCCGACCCCTATGCGAGTGGGGTCTCGACGGGTGGGGGGGAGCGGCAGACGGAAGACCGGAACCGAATACCGACGACACGGCCGTTTTTGTCCCGGAAGCTCCATCAGAGAGGAATTGGCCTCCCGGTCAAAAGAACGGATTTTAGTAAGGGAAGAAGCATTTACGGCGTTTGGGGATTGGATGCGTGCAAGCGCGAAACAGGAAACCGTTCGATCATATCGAGCGAGGCCCGTTAGGAAAGCTAGATTGTGCTTTTTGATCTGCCTTTTTTTGCGTGAGCAGGGAAACCGAAACCGAAGTACATCATTCCCCCCCCCCTCTCCGGATTCTTTTCTCAAAAAAACAAAAAAAAAGGGGAGAAGGCTACGTGTGTGTTTCCAGACGGGGTGGCCGAGATTACGAGGCTGGCCCTCTCATGTGATGAGATATGTCTGGACTTCCGACGTGCCCCCCAGCGCACCGTCACCGTCGGCGGCGCAATACGTGCCGCCGAGAACTTTGTCGATGCTCGGGCCGTGTCCATAGAATACTGCTGAGCGCAAACTCGGGCTCGACGTGCAATTCCGGTCCCACCCCCCCCCCCCCCAATTTGTGTGCTCTTCGCAATATGCTTGGGAGCAGAAAATGACCTTTGCGCGTTGCGTAGAAGACGCATGGGCTCCGCGGGAGCCTTATCATTCAGTCAAGATGCTTGAAGCTTCTCGAGGGTTGCGTGCTAAGACGGGTGTTTTGCCATGATGAAGCCTCAGCTAACCCGTCAAGATGACAAGATTACACATATTGATAAGCCGAATAAAAAAGAGATTAAATCCGTACCATTGATTCATCCTCGTCCGCTTTACACACGCAAACCATTTGGCGTATCAGTGTGTTCCGATCGCGAAATGAACCGATTCGCAGGCTCTTTCTTGCGCGACGTATCGGCCTGTGGAAGCAAAGACAGCATTCGTAAAGCATCATTTTGTAATAATGACTTTTGTTGATACACTCTAGCCTATGTACTCGACCACTGTCTTCACTGCCCCCCCGCCTGTCCTTTCAGATGTGGATGCCGCCCGGGTTTTCCACGAAACGCTCGCTCTCGTGCTCGTATAAGCGGCTGCGGTTCGAGGCGGTGCGCCGGCCCGGCGTCAGCGCGCCGTTCCGCGTCGTCCTAGCGGACCTCGGCGTCGCGGGCAGCAGCTGCGGCGCCCTCCAAGGCCTCGCGGCGACCGGGTCGAGTCGTGGCGTCCCGCCGACGCCCCCGGATCCCTCAGACGCCCGCCGCTGCTCCTTCCTCCATGCCCGGACGCGATCAGAGCGGCCGGGCCCGGGCCGACCCGGCTCTTCCGCCTCCCAGACCTCCTCGTCCATCAGCGCCATCGTGTCGAGCCAGTCCCTCGCCTCGCGCGCCCGCCTCTCCGCCATCGCCGCCCTTGCGAGCATCGACCGCCGCCGCCTCGTGACCTCCAGCGCGTCGACCGTGTCCCCCAGCGACCTTTTCTGCGCCAGCATCACGCCGATGCCCGACATGAGCGCCACCACCGAGAAGCCGTCGCCGAGCTCGCCGCGTGCCGCTGCGTTGGCGAACGCGAAACGCGTGCCCAGGTGCGGCCGCGAGCCGCTGCGTGACACCAGAGCCACAAGCTCGTCGCCTCCGTCGCCCGTCCTCCGCACCTCGTCTGCCGTCCGCTTCCGCCATAGCATCCACCCGTCCGCGCCCCGGAGCCGCCGGATCGTGAGCCCCCGGCTGTGTCGCCACTCGAAGTCGACGTCGGCCAACCCCTCCCGGCGCGGGATCTGCATGGTGAACACCCACCGGACGGCGGCGGCGGCGCTTCGCCACCGGAGCAGCCGGCCGAGCGGGCCCCAGGGTATCTGTTGCTCGAGGACGACCTTGGCGGGCTCCCCTTTGTCTGTCGTAGTCGTCGTCGTCGTCGTCGCCGTCTCGAAGAGGACGACGTCCATCGTCTTCATTGTCTCCCAGCCGGTCCGCACCACGGTGCGGTGCGTGAGGTTGGCGATCTTGGGGTGCACGTCAAAGGGGCCCGCGTGAAGGTTGATGCCCAGGTGGTTGTCCGAGGGCTCTTCGTCGTTGCTCAGGCAGAACAGCGGCTTGTCGGCGGTCTCGGCGATCCCAGAGTTGAAGATGTTGAACTCCATGGGGATCCGTCGGTGCGAACGTCCTCGATCGCGGCTGTGGCCGTCCTTCATTACCGAAGGTGTGGGGGAGGGTCTGACCCTGGCGTCTGGCAGAGCGAAGATCAGAATCTTGAAGAGGAGAAGGCAGTTTACATAGCAGAGTTCGTGATAATTCGAAGAGTGTATATGTATACCCTGCTTGGTTTTGCCCTCTGCGGTGATAGTTGCTCAGGAAGAAGAGTTGTCGAAGTCGAAACGCTCGAAAGGGCGCCACTCGCGACGTGTCGACAGATGGTGCTGTTGAATCAGGCGGCGGGAGAAGGACAGACGAATCGAGAGCGCTCATTGTCATTTCGAGAAGTCACGATACAGGGCCATGGTACGTCCGAATGTAGACGGGAAGGTTCGACTTTTCCACTTTCCAGACGGCCGTACCCAGAGCCGTGCCGGTCCGGAAATCTCCACATTTCCTACCGGCAGCACCGAACAGTGTCAGTCCAGGGACGCTGTGCAGTCGACGCCAAATCTAGCCGACCATTGGTAGGCGGTAACCACAGTGGAGGGGAGAGGAGAGGAACATCATCTGGAAAGAGACGAGGCCCAGAACCGATACTCTATGATTGCAAGGCCTCAATCCGCCACCGGTTGTTCAAACGGTCAACTCGCAGCGTAGCTCATGCATTCGACGCTGGACCGTGTCTGCTATATAATCACGTAGTAGCATGACTGAGCCTCTAAACATTAAAACCAGCACGCGCCAAAGTGCTGCCACCCTGATGACCACCCGACAAATGACTACTCTCCCCACCTTGCCATATCATAAGAATCTGTAGGCATCTGTGTTCTGCACCCCTCAACGGGAAGCGTCTTGCCAACTTGAAAACTCTGTCAAATACTCGATTGTACGGATATCACCCGTATACCCGCAACAGACGGCCCCGGGCTCGCTCGCCACCGGTTTTTCGGATGCTGAGTGAGGTCCATTCGTCATGCCAGGCGAAGAGCACACAGAAGGCACTCGTGGGTTAGCAACAGGGCGTTGGAGGGAGGCATCTCAGAAGATCATTCAACTGCAGAGAGGGGAATTCGATACAAGATACGTGTTCTGGGTGAAATCGGGACTCTTGAATGGCGATTGTTGCCGCTTGACACGGAGCAATACTGGCTGATCGACATCGTAAGATGCCAAGACGATACTTGCCAGGGCCAAGCTTCGATCCGAGTTCTTTCCGTTCCGATTCTTTCCTACCCACGCTTGCCATAGCAAAAGACAGGCAGTCTGGGTGGTGATTCTGTGAAGCCGCCACCGAAGGGATGGCGACCTTGCTTTGGTTGGGGATCGCGAGGATGTTCCGGAACGATGACAAGCTCCGGAGACAAGGCCGCCCGCCCAGCCGAAGGGCGCTCGGCAGATGGGCCATTCGAGGTGTGTGTGTGTGTGCGTGTGTGGTTTGGGTGGGTGCAGTCGGGGACGAGCCGACCGAAGCTAGATGACAAGCTCATTGGTCACGTCGACCGTGCGCGAGCCAAGTCAGCCGGTACCTAGCCTCTCCTTCTCCGGCGGAGTCGCGATTCATGGTCGGGCGCCTAGTAGCGTATAAGCTGTTATCGTAACCGGCTTGACATGTCTGATGCCAAGTGGGAGGCAGCGGCCACGTTGGCGACGTTGCGCGAAGGCGAGGCCAAGAAAGCAAAAAAAACGGGCCAGGGGCCTTGGCGTTTCTTGTATCCGAGCTTCGAACGCGTCAACGGCGTTGGAAGGGGATCCGGCTGGAGGGAACGGTGCCATAGACAGCTGGTTTGGGACGAATGGCTGTGCGCTATTCTCACGTGCTATTGCCATCCCATCCCGGGGACAAGATGCGGTGCTTGCGTGGTGGACCCTGAAATACACGGAAACGCGCAGAGTGGGAACGTTTATTGTCGCATGCTATTCCCAGCATTGCAGACAGCACGGGCAGCGTGTCACAGGCCAGGTGTTCTCCGACGTGAAGGTGACTTGAACGGGTTAGCGATGGCTTCATTAGGCGGCATCTTGCAACGAGGTCGCGGACGACATTCCTATACCGGTAAACTAGTGGAACACACAACTCCCAAAATACGTGCCCATAGCCGTCGTAAGCCCTGGGCTTCTAGAAGCGCTGTTCGGGCTAGACTGGAGCTGGCATGGGAATTGAGACAGCGGCTAGGGCAAGCGGAGGCCCGAGGACTGAGGGTTGGTGGCCTGGTGCGATATGGGCGATTGGCCATGGACATGCAACACCTCTCGCCGCCAATTGCAAGGGTCAAAAGCGATGGATGGGTTAACGGTTCGCTTTCGGTGGCACGTGAACATCATCGCAACCGGTCTCGCGGCTCACCGCCGTTTAGGGGCAGCGAAACAAGACAGTTCCAACGACTCGGGCGGCGAGGATGTGGACATATTCGCTGCACGTTTCCCAGGTCTCGTGCGGCTGGTGGATATCTTGCTGCGAGAATGACTTCCAGGGTAGCACTTGGCGGCCATTATGCCGGCGTGGAAGGGGGAGGGGGAGGTTGGATGGCTGGCTGGAAAGGTATCCCAAAACACCGGGGAGATGGGCTTGCAGATGTTTTTGCCTCGTTGCGGTAAGGATCAGGCTACGCGGTGGTGCATGGTAAGCCGAGCAGGTGGTGGTAGGTGGTGATGGGAGTGGGGTGACGCGACGGTGCAGACAGACGCATGTCGAAAAGTGCCCGGTGGGCGAGGATGATGGACCCGTCGTCCCCGCAGAGACAGATTAAGGGTTTGGGGTCGAAGAGATGTTGCTGGGGAAGCGGGGAGTGCTGGGGACGGCGGAAAACAGGATGCGGCCATCAACCCGTTATCATGTACAGTCGGTGGTCTTTCAAAGTACGGCGAACGTTCAGGTTGAGCCTAGACTAAGGGAAAGCCGGTCTAGGCGATAGGCGGCGGCACGGCGGGTGGCTGGATGAGGCGAGCGGACGGCGGCGCTCGCAGAGGCCAAGTGCCGGGTCGGTCTGGTCGTATCTGCATGTCGAAGCTGGTCGGGCATTACTCTGTGCTCTACATTAGCTTGTATGCGACAAGGGAGGGACCAAGATACGAATTGCTCGGGTGAGGGCTGTGATTACCACTGGCAGGCAGCAAGTTAGCGACGAAAGAAAGCCATGTTTTGGGTAAACCATGTATGGTCTTGGCAAGGTCACGATGTTGCGGGCGCATCGTTTGATGTCTGGCCTGGTTACAATGCCCAGCCCAGCGATGAGGTACACTAGACCGAAAGCAAGTCGACCCCCGGCATGACTCGAAATGAGAGTCGACGGCCAAAGGAAACCCAGCCGGGGGAAGAAGGATGTGGGCTTCCACGTAACTGAAAGAAGACGAGTCAATGGGTGACTTTTGACCGTCACCGGCCGCGCGGAGGAGGGTCGTAAGGGGACGGGGACGGTGACGAACGCGCCTGCAGGAGGGAAAGATCCGGGATACCGTATGACCAGAAATGTCGAGAGGAAAGTGGGGGTTGTCCCCGGTCGTGCCTGCCAAAGTACGGAGTACGGGTCTTGGTTTCTTTTCCGGCAGGGAAGTAGCCAATTAGTGGCACGTGGGTACGGAGCAACGTGCCTAAGAGCTGCGAACTTCTGGGGGAGGGGGGACGGGGGAGAGATACATACATACCATGGGCCATCTAGATGGAGTAATATGGAGAGGATGGAGAGAGCTGGGGCTTGAAGATCTGGGGGGAAAAATGGAGGCGTCCCCCCGTCCCCGTCAAGGACCACTGACGGCTCGTCCGCCTACGGCACGAGCAGAGATCAGTGCGCGAATTTCCTACTCCGAATCCCTCCATGACGAACCATCCCATTGGCCAAGAGATGCTGCGCATAAGAGACATTGTGCACGCCATCATACTACCCGTAGGTATGTATCCGTAGAGCTCTGTACATGCCTAGTATGCTTCACCGACTCGACCAGTCAGTCGTGGGTGGTGCCAGCTAGTGGTTAGCGCCAGACCAGCTATCATGTCCCTTAAGCTTAATTCCACAGCACTAGTAGTAGTAAGTGTCTTCTCTGTACGGATGCCCTTCCCTTCATTCTGTTACGGTGGGACACAGGCGTGCTCTCTGGTGGTCTGTCCACCATTGGCTGACATTTTACCCCGTATTGATGATCGGCAGGCCAATCAATCTGTGCGGGGAGATTTGAACCTACCTGTCGCGGGCCAGCTGTCAGTCAGGCTTAGTCAACAAACAGTTCGTTTGACCCATCCATGGTTATCCGTACCGGCGAGCTGGAATGCGCGAAACAACGTCGCTTGTTTTTTTTCCCCCCCACGTCCCTCTTTCTCGGGTTCTTTTTTGACTTCACCTCATCAGTGATGGTCGTGGACGTCGTCAGTTCGTTCAAGAATGCGGCGACTTCTCTTTCGCAGCGCCGAGCAACTTGGCGCAACGGGAGGGCTTGCCGGGACGGACACAAGCACTTTCTTGGCAAAGTCATCAGCCGTTGTGTCTTGGCTTAATGTCGCCGCCGGCGAACCACATCCCTGCCCACACCTGCTGAGCTGCATTGCCCACGAGTCTTGGGGGTGGGGGAGGATTGAGTGTTGGTGCGCTTCGTTGGCATGTTGCTTATGTCCCCCCCCTCGTCCGACCTCGCACTTTCTTTTTATTACTGATGCTTAGCTATCGTGTTGAGTGCCTGCTTAGTTCGCGCATCTAGCCGGCAGTAGCGAGCGCATGGCCACATGGAAGGATATGTATCGCAGACGCGAGTCTCGGCGACTGGAGCAGCGCAGATAAGACAGGCAGGCCGTCAATACTGTTTATCCGTATAGGTATGCGAAATGAAGGTGGAATGAGGATGGAAGAAATACGGGGTGTTTGGTCACGGGACACGGGGTAATTGCGAGCGAGGCACGACAGTGTTTCCTGATGGCGCCTTCTGTCGGCCGAGTGAATGAGTCCGTTCTGTTTCGTTCCTTCCTCGCCCGTGCCTGCTCGCCCCGCACCCGAGGGCACCAGCAAAAAGGCAAGCGCGGTGGCCATGGCCACCTTCCCCTTTGTCGTTCCTTCCCACAAACCTTGACCCAACGCCCCGAACCAACAAACAGGCAACACCTACCCAAGTTGCCAAGGTACCTACCTACCCAGATACCATCCCATCCCACGTACCTGAGGCAAGATGACCGGCCTTCTTCCTCGCTGTCGCTTTTGTTGTTTCCCCTCCTTCTCCTCCCTCACACCTTTCCCCTTGGCACATTTCATAAACCTTGGCATGATTCTGCTCTCCATTCGAAGGATTTGGTGATGCAACATCACCGGCCTCTCCTCCCCCCACAGACCACACACGCGCTGTACCCAACACGGACAGCCAAGACCTCCTGGACGTGTGAGGCGCAAACTTTTTTCTGGTGTCGAGTCGACCCTCCGATTTTTTGCCATCTCTCTCTCCTCCTCTCAATCTGATTACCGGTACTAGTCTGTTGGTTCTGCCTGCTTGTTACTGCCACGACCGTTCTTGGCCCGGCTCACCAACTTTTCAAACCCCCCGTTGCTATTCCTAGCGTTCCACTCTGCTTACCAGATACTCTTGGCATCCGTCTGTCTGCGTTTATTTCTTACATGGCTAGATCCAACATGGCTAGATCCAACAGGGCAACACATGCCGCCAGTGGTCTGCAAGGCCGACCCTCTCGATGGTACACTAGAGCGCAACGAATCAATCACAGTCTCCTTCGCCGAGGGAAACGAAACTCCTCCTCTGTTTCGCCGCTTCCTGTTTTGGTATTTGGCAGACAGACAGACCCCCAACACCCACCAGCATTGTTGGAATGGATGGAACACGTGGGACATGTTGTGCACCCACAACTACGCCGTGGTCTGTCTTAGTGCGTAGTCACCGTCTTCTTCTCTCCCGCCAGAAGCAGCCCGATCTTCGTTGTTCTGTGCATTCGAGAGGGTGTCTGGCCGGCGACTCCAAGTGGACTCGTCCGTTCGCGCGGAGGATCCCGCTGCATCTCATCCCACCTTGCCGTACGTTGGTAGTTGAACGTGCCATAACCGGGGCCTCATCTCTCTGTATGGCCCGTCATTACAAACGCAAACCAACTCGCCTCGTCCGACGTGCGTCCAGTCCGGTGCTCGACATGCATGTCCCTGCCGCCGGTGGCTGCCATGCCGTTCCCCATGCTCCTCGATCCCATTCGTTCTCCATGGGCTGATGCATCATGTGCCGGAGTGAAGGCCGTCCGTCTCCCACATCACATAGCGTGCTGCTTCTATCTGTCTATCCGTACCTTGAGCGCAATCGGCAGCGAGAAGCCTGGCCGCGGACGCCATCGTATGCAACACACCAACGCCAGTACCTACCGATATCCCAATATGGATGGACCTGGACCAACCACACGCCTCCCGGAATCATCCTGGCCCTCTATCTGTTGTTCTGAAAAGTCTAAACTCTCAACAACCATGGACCAGAGACCCCAGCCTCGCCTCCCTCTCCCCTGTCTGCCGCCGCCTCCTCCTTCCCCTCCCTCGCTTCCCCTTGCCTGATGCTCTCCCTCGTCTAGGTAGTCACTCAGCCGCTAGAAAACTCTAGCTCCATGAATCTCCTCTCATCCTACTCCGTGCTAGGCACACCTTGCCCCTTTCCTCCGACCCTGACCCCGCATCGTCAGCTACTTCCTCCCCACGCATCCATCACAGATGCCCACCCCCTGCCGCCATTGGTAGGACTGCCTGTACAGAGTACCACTCATCACGCTTCACTGCAGGGTTCCATCATGGAGCATGATCCGTTTTCGAGGCCGCGGGCGACTTGCCATGCTCTGACCCTCGACATCGTTGCTCTTTGTTTCCGTACGCTCTCCTTCGAAACCTTCCTATCCACAACCCCCTTGCTTGGTGAACTCTTGGCGTCGACACGCTGAACTGGCTGGTGATTCGTCCACGGGGAGGGCCATCGAGGCTGCTCTCGACTATATGAGGAGCTTTGCGTCGCCTTCATCTCGTCTTGTTTTAATGGAATCAGCAGTCGTGCCTCATCCGTTCTCCATCATCTCAACTATACACTTTCTCTTTCCCCCGCTGCCCTCCTCTTCTACCACACCCTGACGGCCTTCGAGGAAACCTGAGCTAGAGTCAGGAGCCGCACAACACCGACGTCCACCATGTCGACGCCAACCGCTCAGCCCGCCGACCCTATCGCCAAGGGCGTCTTGGCCACGGCGAAGCAGTCCTTGAAGGACCTCTTCATCTGGAAGCAGCGTACCGTTGTCGTCACCCCGGACGGCGAGACGCACACGGAATGGCAGGATCCCGACCCCATCAAGAACCCCATCACCCTTATGGCCCAGCTGAGCCCTCGCGACTGGCTCTTCTTCACCTGTGGTTTCTGCGCCTGGACAGCTGATGCCTTTGACTTCCACGCCCTCTCTATCCAGACCACCAAGCTGGCCAAGTACTACCACCGCTCCAAGACGGACATCACCACGGCCATCACCCTGACCCTTCTGCTCCGTTCCGTCGGCGCCGCCGCCTTCGGTCTGGCCGGTGACAAGTATGGTCGCAAGTGGCCCATGGTTGCCAACATGATCATCCTTGGTCTCCTCCAGATTGCCACCATCTACAGCTCCACCTTCCAGCAATTCCTGGCTGTGCGCAGCTTGTTCGGCCTCTTCATGGGAGGAGTCTACGGAAATGCCATCGCTATGGCTCTCGAGCACTGCCCGTACGTTGCCCTCATCACTCTTTTCTGGTCTTTTGTTGTTGCGTCAAGGAACCCCCCACTAACATGGTCTTCAGCTCCAACGCCCGCGGTCTCATGTCTGGTATACTCCAACAGGGGTACTCCTTCGGCTACGTGCTCGCTGGCTGCGCCAACCTCGGCGTCGGCGGTGGCGTCGAGACGTGGAAGACGGTCTTCTGGATCGCCGCCGGCATTTCCATCGCCGTCGGTCTCGTCCGTATCGTGTTCCCCGAGTCCCAGCAGTTCCTCGAGGCCAAGGCGCACGGCAAGAAGTCGGCTTCGCCCGGCGCCTTCTGGAGGGAAACCAAGAAGATGCTTGCGCAGGAGTGGAAGATGTGCGTCTACTGCATCATTCTCATGACGTGGTTCAACTACTACTCGCACACGTCGCAAGACTCGTACACCACCTTCATGATTTCCCAGAAGGAGATGGGCAACAGCGGCGCGTCCCGCGCCTCCATCCTGATGAAGGCCGGCGCCTGCGTCGGCGGCACCATCATCGGCTACCTGTCCCAGTTCTTTGGCCGTCGCCGCGCCATCATCGCCTCGGCGCTTATCTCGGCCTGCCTGATCCCGGCCTGGATCCTGCCCCAGGGCGAGCGCTCCCTCAGCGCCAGCGGCTTCTTCATGCAGTTCTTCGTCCAGGGTGCGTGGGGCGTCATTCCCATCCACCTCAACGAGCTGTCGCCCCCGGCCTTCCGTTCGTCGTTCCCCGGTATCACGTACCAGTTGGGCAACATGATCTCGTCGCCGTCGGCCCAGATCGTCAACGCCATCGCGGAGAAGACATTCGTCAGGGCGCCCTCGGGCCACAGCGTCGAGGCGTACGGCCCGGTCATGGGTATCGCGACGGCCATCATCGCTATGGGCATCGTGGTCACGACTATGTTCGGACCCGAGCGCCGCGGCCGCAGCTTTGAGCACGCTGTTGCCGGCGTTCAGGGCGAGGCGGTCGAGACCAAGGAGATCGACGACCACGACGAGGAGAAGGGCCACGACGAGGAGAAGGGCAGCATCGGGGCCGCCACCGTCGAGAAGGTAGCCCCGCACAAGGAGTAAGCCAGTCCACAAGGAGTAAGCCAGTCGCTGCTGGGCTCGGCGACAATAAGGTTTATTGTGGGTTTTTTTTATTACTATGGATATGTTATATGCGGATCATCAAAGGGGGAGGTGTGTGTGGGAGATGTGCACACACACGCGAGGAGGCTGAAAGAAGGAAATCAACCCTCTTTCCTGGAGGCCGGGGCGACAGTTACGATACCCTAGCAGCGCCGCAGGCGCATATGAAGCATGATTGAATTGAAGACAGTCAAACATCTTGAAACCATTTCCCTCACACGCTCACTCTGTCTCTTTCTAACGCACCTAGCCCATGTCAACCCTCCCCTCCTCCCGCTCACGCGACCCTCAAAGGTCAGTATGACCGCAGTGCGATGCAATGTCTCACATCACGACAGCTTGTCTCGAGACAAGCTTCGCTGCCCAGCGATGCCGACACCTGCCCCAGTGGCTTGGCGTGAAAGCTTGTAAAGAAACGCACAAAAACCTTGATCATCTCACTAGTGTATGTAATATGTCGCCCCCCCCCCGAACCTGTGGGGCCGGCCGAGCTACTACTTTACGTAAAGTTCAGTGCGCCGCCGCCGCCGCCTCTCTCCCAGGTGAAGTGACGGAAGGGGGACCAGCTAAGAACAAGCATCGGTAGGTAAAACGAACTTATCACAGTGTAAGTATGTATATACGTGTGTTTCCTAGAGGCGGCGGTCGGTTGGTTTGGTCGCTGGCTTGGGGATGGAAATCTCTGTTTTTTTGTTTTTTTTTTCTTCTCTTTTTTTTCTTCTTTTCTGGTGGCATGCGAATCCCTGGCACTTCTCTTGGCTTAATCTCTCTCTCTCACACGCACTTCTCCGGGTTTCATTTGTGTAACCCCTAATTCGGACAAGCAAAAAAGCCTGCGAGACCAGCCGTCAAGACCATAAAAGACGGTGCGGCCCTTTCGTTGGGAACCGTCCAAGCTGCAGACATTGCCCCCCCCCCCCCCCCCCCCCTCCTCACCTTGTTCATTTCCCCCGTACCAGAACGACCTCCTCCCACACCCCGGATCTGGCTGTCGACATCTCGCGTTGCACTCTGCCCCTTGCTCTACGGCGAGACGGAATCCGCGCGCGCGGGGAATAGAGAGAGAGAGAGAGAGAGAGAGAGAGAGAGAGGAATTCTGCGTGGGCATGCGGGCCCACGCCGAGATGATACTCGTACGATGCTGAGCGGGACGGAGAGCCACAAATCTCTAAAATGTTTTTTTAATGGGGCGGCCCATCTCGAACCATCCAACAGCATCTCCCTCCCTTCCCCCATTCTCTTGACCCCCTTCCCCATCCCCAGTCTTCCAACCTGATCCGGTTTGCAGTCGGGCTCTAACTCCGTGTCCTGGTTCCAGACCAGCCATCCCCCCCCTGTCCCCCATAGTTTGGGGAACGTCGGGTGGGGTTGGTCTGGGGGAAAGGTGCGGAGTAGGAGCCTAATGACAGATCACACACACACGCGGAGAGAAGACCGGCGCGTGTTTCTGGCTCCATCGCGAACCCGAGGGCTTGGCAGAGCTCCGGTTTTTCTCTTCCATCGGACCATCGCTCTCGTGACGGGCCTCGAGGCTCGTGAACGGGGGGACATGGGTCCCCTCCACCTTTACTCACGCTTCCCGGTTTCCCGGTCGTAGGCAACTTCATTTTTGCTCTCGCACGCGCGCGCGCGAGACGTCGACGGGAAGCCGACTCCGACGAGGCCAAGGAAAAGAAAAAAAAAAACAGCAAGGGGAAGAAGGAGGCCTAGCCCGCTTGGCTTCTTGGCCTCCGTCGGAGGTTGTCCGTTGTTTGCTAACACCGCTACGGCCGGGTTCGCATCCTTCCCGCTTGCCCGAGTTCCGTGGCTTTTTTCCTTCCCTTGGCCGAATGGCTCCGATGGAACGCTGCTCGTTCCAACGCATCGACCCCCCTTTGAACTCCCCGTGTGTGACCGCCACTGCCGCTCTAAAGGACCAGACTTGAGTGTTTGTTTGTTTCCCCTACTGTTCGTATTCCTTCGAGGCGCGCGAGCCGGGGCTGACGGGATCGGGTCACCTGTACGCCGCACGCCTGCGGGAGCCCGACGCGAGAGACAGGGGCACCGGAGGTGGGGGAGGAGTTCGAGAAGCGTTGGGCGGTGAGAAGCATAGTCGTTATGAAGGCGGATGTGCTGCATCTGGGTGACAGCATGTGCCGCTCGCTGCCTGTTCCTCGTATGGGATAACACGCGGCGTTTCCCCATTTCCCCATTTCATCTTTGAGCTTCCGGCTGTAATGTGGTTCGATGGGTATCACGATAGCTACCTACAGCACCTGTTAGGTTGATTATTATGTGCTATATCACGTAGCGTTTCACTCGTTACTCGTTACTCGCAGTACTTGCCTATGTACAGGACGTTTCCTTTGCATCTCTACTTTCGTAGGAATAAGCCTTCCTTGATTCTATTCTTTCGTGTCCTGCTGTGTGCTCTAACCCGTGACAGATAGCCTTGGCGAGGTGCCGGGGCGACATCGCGATGACGAGTTGCGCGATGGAGCTCTGGGGTCGCGGGGGGAGAGAGGGCGGGCTCCGAGGGAGCTTGATGTATCTGGTGCGGCCCATCGCTCGCCATCATATATAGCTCTCATGGGAATCATTGTAGGACTCCGGGATTCCGGAGAGGGCTTCCTGGAGGGCGACGATACCACTTCAAGGGGAGGAGACATCCTGCGGGCTTCCTTCAACGATGGCCATAGTCTTCCAGGCCCGCGTGCTCCAGCAGGATATGTAAGTCCGAGGACTCACGGACTACCGATGATGTGCCGGCTCGAAGCCGCCACTCTCTCCTCCGGTCCTCGTGCCTCGGCCCCACGGCGTGCTCGTATTTGCTGCGCGCTGCTGCCTCTCTCGATGGAAGTCAATTCCCGCCCCGTGTGTCGCCGCGTAAACCCCCCACGTCATCGGTACACCGTGCGGGTGGTCTCCCATCCGGACGGGCGGCTTCCCGACTGTTCGCCGTATACAGATACCCAGCATCATCCGTACAAGAAAGAGCCTCTTCCGTATGGGAGGCTCGTTCATGCTCGAGACCGACGCTCGAAACGGGCCCGGAGGGCAAATCCCTCCCTCCTGCCAGAAGATGTAGATACGCATCGGCGTCTGCTGCAGGAAGGCGTCAATCCCAATAACCTCTCGAAACCAAACCAAACCAAACCAAACCAAACCAAACCAAACCATGCGCCGCCGTTTATAACTTCCAACCCCGTCGTCGTACCCTCACACCCGCGAACCAGTGCACCTCTCGCTGTCCTTGCCCATCCTCACTCATCCGCGCGCCAGGCACACACTCGCAAAGGATAGACCATCTACATCCTCTACCCAAGGCCAAATGTCTACAGCCAGCCCGCGGCGCAGAGAGATCTCCCGGGTGGGAGCTCCGAGTATTCACCGTGCTTGCCCCCCCCCCCCCCCTCACGCCTTTCTGTTTTGCGTAGCATGTTTTCTGCCGTCGTCGCGTCGTCATCATGGCGTGAAACCACCGGCCGGTCCATCGTGAGATCGCCGCGCGGCCCAGATCAGATGTGGATGGATCTAGATGTGCCGCACACATCCCGTGCCTCTGTTCCCGCACCCGGCCGTCTCCTGCTGTTCCCCTGAGCGCACCGCAACAGATACCTGCATCTCGAACCCGGAACCTCCCTCCGTCCCAAGTGAACGGCGAACAAAACCAAGCCCCCAGAGGACGTCGAGAACCGGTGCTTGTACTTCTTTACCTCTCGTCTAGTGTTGCTTGCCCGTCCATCGTGGACCGTCATCCTTCGATTGGGGATATTGGGGGGGGGCAAGAACTGCCTCGCACCCCTTTTTCGCGAGGGCATCATTCTGTCTAGAAGGATATATATAGCTTCACCAAGGCGATATATGCCGGGTAACGCAACAGGTTCGAGGTCTTCTTACCCCGATAGCCAAGTATTGCTATAAGATACGATCATCGCCAGCCCTTGATACCTATTGGACGGGGTGCGCACTTGATACAAAGCACAGGAGGCAGGAGATAGATGGCAGTGATGTTCTGGAGGTTTGACCACCTCTGGTGTGTCTGTCTCATTCTTCTAGCTGTTCTGCTATATAATATGCCACGTCTGGGTAGACTCGAATCCGTTGTACTCAAAGCAACGCTGAACCCATACACGAACGCCATACCGCCCCCATTTATATGCTTGCTCTTTTAAAGCTCCTTGTATCCACAAACCGTCTTGTACCGAAACCCAACTCCAAATCCCGGGTTGCCTCTACACCCCGCATCCAATAACAAAAGAAATCCAAATTGCGCCGAGCTAAGAGGGGTTTGCTGCGCACAAACTAGAAGCTGAGCAAGCCGCTCCTACGCTTGCCCAGCGGGTATACTATCAGGGCACTCAGGAACAATCCGACAGTGATGCCGATGGCGACCTGAATGACGCTGAGGAGAACGGCGAAAGCCGAGTTGTTGAATTCCGAAGCGGTACTGGGCGGCGGCGTCGCGGTGCCGTTGTTGTTTGTGATCTGGTCCGCGGACGTCACACCAGCCAGCAGCGACCCGCCAGCCGCAAGACCACTAGGTACCTGCACGAATATCGCAGGCAGCATGGCCGCGGCAGCAAGCCCGTAGCCCACAGTCCGCTGTCGCTCGGGAACGATCCCTTGCGCCTTGTCCTTCTCGGAGAACCTTTCGACAACTGGTGAGCTGGGTGCCGTTTCGGGTGTGTTTCCGCCCGGGGTGTGAACGCCCTCGGCACCGGCACGAGCGCCGGTCTGGCCGGACATTTGATACATGTCCGGGCGGGGGCGCTCGTTACGGCGACGGCTCGCGCTGACGAAGCGCGGTGCCACCTTGAGATCCCACCAGTCAAGGAAGTCAAGTAAGTAGTTGTGGGCGTGGCGGCCCAGTCGGGAGTAGAGGTTAGCTAGCAGCCCGACCGTGAGTGCGCCAAGCATGTTTGAGATCTGGGCGTTTCCCACGAAGAAGTCGGACGAGTAGCTGTTAACGAGAAACCCGGCAAGTGAGATGAGGACCATGACCGGCGTCTGCTTCCACTTTGCCTGGTTAATGATGCAAAGGCAGAGAGTGAAAGCCGGCACGAACAGCAGGTACCACTTTCGATCGAGCGGGTTTTCACAGCTGGTTCGTGATTCCGCGTGCTTGTCCAAGACGCCGTAGAGGGCGGTGCCGATCGTCGTGCCGTATCCGAGGAAGAGAGTGTAAATCATGGCGTAGACCATGCGGACACTTCCAGCCACCAGGTTATGGCTCTGCAACTCCAAACTGCTGCAGAGGACCATGTAACCGGGTAGAATGAGGGCGATAGAGCTTTGTGCCAGGGCAGAAAAGCAAAACAGTTGGCCCTTGTGGATTGAACCGAAAGCGCGCGCCAAGAAGGAAGTGACGATGGCAGCCGTAATCTCAAAGACGTTGGCATACAGCTCGTTGCTCGGTGCGAGAATGAGCTGCATCCAGCCGAGGAGGCAGCCCAGGACGAAGGCAATGGGCAGATCGATGAAGCGACCCTGGAAGGCGAAAGGGGCAACGCAGGCACTGGCGAGCCCGTAGATTGGGACACGCGTCCAGTTGCCAAACTTCAGCTTGCGACTCGTGATGTTTTCGAGCATGACGGTGGCGTCGTCGACGCTGATGATATCGTGAACAACCTGCTTATAGATGTCGTGTACGTCGCGCAGCTTGCCCAGGTCGACTCCGTGCGCCGAGCGAACAATCTTGACCTCGGTCGTGTGCGTTGCGCTGTCGTCGAAGCTGATGATCATGCAGCCGGGGATGTAAAGAAACTGGCCCTCAATCTCGAGTACACGCGCCGACATCTTCATGTACTCCTCGAGTCTATGCGTCGGAGCACCATACATCATCAGCGCCCTGCACAGCTTGACAAGGTACTTATGCCTCGACAAGATCTGTGCAATGTGCTTGGTGATTCGGATCTTATCGTCGGCCTTGGCAGACTTGGACGACCTGGGCGACGAGCCACCCCACACGCTGGACTTCTTCTTCTTTGGCCTGGATGGGGGCTCCTGCCTGAGCTTCTCCGTGAATCCCTGGCTGAAGACGCTCGAAGCGGGACCGGCCATGGCCGACGACGACTTCATAAGCTCGGCCAGGGCCATGGAGGAACGAGAGCCCTGCTTCTTGTGGTAGTTGAACAAGCCACTGTTGGGGCGCGAGGGCCGAGGCGAGCCAGGGGCTGAAGGGGGTGCAGAGGCCGGCAAGGAGCCGGGGGGAGAGTGGCTAGGCGTTGCCGTGGCCGGGGTGTTGGATCCCGGCGTGTTCCGTCCACTGTTGCTGCCGCTGCCATTCTCATTGTACAGCTTGAGAAGGGAGGAGAGAATACCGCCTTGATACTGTTTGGGCGGGGGGACGTAGTCATGGGCGTAAGACTGCTCCAAGGTAGGGGTTACAGTCCCAGAGCGGACGCCGGGTGGTGGCTGATATTTGAAGTAGTCGTTCGGCCCGCGCACGTTCTTCTTGGCACGCTTTGTGTGGGATCGGACGAGGTCCTCGGCATCGGTTTGAGAGTTCCTCTTGGGACGAGACCGAACCTTGCGGCGGTCGTCTGCGCCATCTACTGCCGTACTCAAGCCGGTGACCCTGTCGGCTTCCTCATCGTCACTAAAGGGGTTGGCGACGCTGCTATCGACTGAGCTGCGACGGTCCGGCGACGCGTAGTTCTCGACGCTGACGGCCAGCCGGTTGGCTCGTTGGCGAGCCTCGAGGCCGGAACGCTGCTGGCGCTCGCCGGCGGTCCGCTCAGCCATGTCTGCCTTTTCCCTCTCCTGGGGATCGTCATAGCTGGTGTTTCGGCGCAGAACGGGGCGGGGCCGGGCAGGTATCTCGGGACGGCTGCTGTCCTGGTTTTCCAAGATGAGCACCTGGGTAAGGGCCCGGCGCAACTCACCGGCATCCGGTGCGCCGGCTGGTGTAGAATCAGCATCGTGGCGCGGTGTGTCGAAGGGGTTAACTTCGGGAGACATGTTCTGCGCGAAGTAGTCGTCTTCTATGACGATGCTGGGTGGCCGGGTCACTGGTTGAGACAGCTGAGGCTGTTCGTCACCGTGAAAGCCGACCCTCTTCTTCTCTTTCTTGGCCTGTGGGGTCGCGGAGGCAGGATGGAGCAATGGCGGAGTGAGAAGCTTTCCCGACTGTCCTTGCTGGACTTGAGGCGGGCTGTTGAAAGGATTCAGAGAAGAAGCAGGTTGCGGGGACTCGTTGGAGCTCGAGTTGGAGCTCGTCCCCAGACCCTGAGGAGAACCCGACATTGTGCCGGCGTTTGGAAATGATCGTCGTCTACGGTTGGTCGGCGTCGGTGTCGCCTCTGTCTGGGTGCGCGGTCGGCCTGCCTGTCCTTGCGAGCCCTCTTTCTCTCTATCGATTGATAACAGTATATTCTGGCGTGACTTGGTAGTACTGGTAGAAGGTGCGGCCACCTAGTGACGACACGATATGGGGTGGTAGTTAGAGCTGCTGATGGCGATGTTTGTGAGATGGACGAATCGTGTGTCCAGCCAGGTATCTATCGTCGGCAAGGCGAGAGTGATTGCAACGTTAGGAGTCGTCAGTGGACCTTACGGCGGTAGCACTTGTGAAAAGAAGGCGCCATCGTGTAAGAAGATGGAAATGGAAGACGGGAGTTGAAGGGTTCGGATGAAGGAGGGACGGGAGAAGGACGAGGGAGGGGGGATGATCTAGGTATGGGAGCCGGAGCTTGAAAGTTCAAGTGTCCGCAGTGTACAGCAGCAGGCGGAAGTAGCGGAGAGACGGGAGGTAATGAGAGGCGAAAAGTGAAGTAGACGAGGTAGGGATGGAGGGATGGAGAAGGGGCAGAAGAATGGAAAGAACTGGAGACTGTTAGACAGGCACAAGCAACGACAGCGGCGGAGGCGGCGGCGACGAGCGAGCCAGGCAAGCCGGGAGGTGAGGTGAGATCCACGATGGGGGTGGGTTTGGTGTTTCTCGGCCCCGGCGCTGGGCTGGTGCGTGCTATGCAGACGGTACCGGGTCTGGAGTGCTTTTTGCGTTATCTCGTAAGACTTGCACCCACTTTGCCGGCTCGTGTGAATCTCTCTATCAGAGAGCGGCCCGTCTGTCTGTCTGGTGCAGGTGGAGAGGGAGAGGGAGAGGCATGTTCGGTGTACACCACTGGTCATGGTTTGGTCGGGCCATGTGCGTGGAACCATGGACCTTGAACCATGTTTGACGTCCGTCCGCATGCAGAGTGCAGTCTGTCAGTTCATCCACGCCCACGGGTAGGTAGGAAGCAATAAGGTACTTGGTAGTTCAGGATGGGTCGAGGTCATTCATGGCGGTGGTCTCGAAACATGGATCAGGGAGGCAATCCCGTCCACCATGCCCTGTTGTGCCATGCGATTTGCCCGGTTGCCCTGCCCTGCCGTGCCTAAGCCAGTCTTAGTCTTGGTAGAGCACCACCATCTTTTGCGCCGACGTAGTAGGGAAGAGAGTGGATTTGCAAGTTTGGTAGGTAGGTAGGCCAAGCAAGACGGACTGGACGGGCTCGACTGGCTGGCGGGGCTAGAAAGAGGAAGAAAAAAAAAACACGAAAGGGGGGTGTGTGTGTGTGGCCCACAACAGTCGTCAGAGAGAAGTGGAGAGAAGCCGACGGTGGTGCGGTGGAAGCGGCGATAAGCAGAGGTCGTCGAGGTGTGTGTGTGTGTGTGTGTGTGTATGTGTATGGCGTGCATCGTGCATATGTGCATATCTGAGGGTGTGATGTACATGTGTGTGTGGTCCAAATAAGGAAGGGATGAAAAACACTGAATAATCAGAAAAATAAAATAAAACAAAATAAAAGATAACCGAAATAAAGGATGATTTTGTAAAGGTACGGCAGGTAGGTAAGATACAAGTAGGTGTGTGTCTGATTTGCGCCTGCAGTTGCCGTGGTTGTTAGTGCCTGCCGCCGCCGGCAAGACGGAAGGGGGAAGAGGAAACCAGAGGGGGGTAAGACATCGATACGTACCTCTTTCCTCTTTCGCACTCTTGCATTCTTACCCCTTCTTCGCTCTTGCCCCTTCTGTAGTAGCTTGAAAAAAATAAAAAATAAAAATAAAGAAGGTGCAGTCACAATCGCCGTCGAAGAGTTTTCCCTTGTGCTGAAAATGGCATTGTACCAGAAAGAGTGGATCCGGCCGCCGAAGCTCCTGTTGAATCCTTCCTTCCGTTCGACAAATTGGCTTGCCAAGGAAATACTCGAGTGGCATGCTTCATTTTTTTTTTTCCCTCCCTTCTTTTGTCTTTATTCGTCTGCATTTTGTTTTTTATATTGCTAAGAGAGAGGAAGAGAGAGAGGGAGAGAGAGAGATGGAGAGAGAGAGTTCACTCAGACCTTGGTTGAAGGAGTCGAGTCGAGCAACTGATCAAGTGAGCAGCAGGTGAAAGAGAATGTCAACAAGAGTATCCGTACGTACATAGCAGCGTACGTAAAATATACCTACCCCCTCCCTGTACGTGTGGTGTACATCGTACATACGATACTTCGTCGCGGCTGTGATGTGAGTACCGTAGGCAAACAGTAAGCCCCTTGCTCGAACATCTCCAGCCCTCCGAGATTGCCCTCATCCCTGCCAGGAACCCTTAGCCGTCCATTCTCTGCGTCCTGAGAGCTCTTAATTCCCTTGGCTGTGTTGGGGGTCTCAGCATCTACACTAACCCCCATGTGCCATCCCGCGTTGACCCCCATGCCGTCATCAGCTCACACCCCTCGTCTCTACACTAGTGTATCCGTACTTACATAGGTAGTACCTCATTCGTACGGATATCCATCCTGCGGCGACCTCCTCTTGCCGAGCCAAACCGAACCAAGTGAAGCTCTGCTGTGCCGGGCCCATCATTGCCTCTTCCCGCCCTAGTTGCATTGCCGGCCGACCGCCTATCGCTGTCGCGCTCGACCACCCGTGTCCTGCGCACCAGGACGACGACGTAGTGGACTAATCATCGGTTGATCGACCCCTGAAGGTGTGCGGCCGGCGGCTAAGAACAAGCACAGCAAACACACACACACACACACACACACACACATAAGCAAGACAAGACACGCAGCAGCCACTACCGTAGCGCTGTTGCAGATGTGATCGATGGCCAAATCTTGCATGCAAAGCCGCTTCCGTAGGGCCGATTGAGATAAGAAAATGAGCCAGAATGCCGTCACCCGTCTGCGCCCAACCATGATTCAGCTGCCGCCATTCGCCGCATGGGGTTTGAGTTTTTTTCTCTCTCTCGGAAGCTCGTTCCTCCCCCGTTTTGACTCATTATCTCATGTTTGAGGCGCTCTCACTCACTAACACCTTGCAGAAAACAGTTTTACACCAGCGAACGCCATTTTCCCTTTCTATTAATAAAAGTGACATGTGTCACCCGGCGCCAATCACACGTCAACTTATCGGAGCAAAGCCGGAACTCATTTCATCTCACAAATCTCACACATGGTCATATCTCTCACGCACATAAACACACACACACACACACACACACACACACACACACAGGTTCATCGAAAAGTCCAGACTGTCTGCAAAACGGACATCTTTGGCCCAATGACTCTCATAAACCTCCTCCCTACACCGCACTACGCCCCCCCCTCCTCACTTTTCACACTCCCCCCCTGGCTGAGCCTCAAGACAACCTAGAGACTAGCAGCGAACCAAGCAGGGCGGTCCCCTGGCAGCAGACTCATGGCAGCTACGGGTGGCGCAGACCCCTCCCCGATCTGGTACTTGTCTGGCGTGCCTGGATTCGCCGTGGCATAGAATGTGGTGCCCCCTCCCATGTCACCGGGATAAACATCCGAACCACAGAAGTTGAGCACAATAAGCCTGGCCAAATGCAAACATGTGCGTTGCAGTTGCAGCCCTCCTGTTTTTTTTTTTTTTTTTCGTTCCCTGCGCCCGTCCCCTGATTCCCGAACCATCGGGGCGATGACGGTGGCTGCCGTTGGCGCAGCCATGACCGTACAAGCATGACGTAGCCCCGACAGTTACGGATACACGTCGCACAAAGTCATCCCACCCCTTCGGACAGTGTGCCATGGACGGTCTGGACAGACTAGTCTTTTTTTGGTTCTCTTCCTTGGTCTCGGCCGTTTTCCAGGTTGGGCGACTAGTTGGAGGAGGATAAGTGCTCCTCCTGCGGACCCGTAGCATGACACCCAACTTCCCGCCGTTCGTTACGTACCTACGTATATCGTACCGTACGTGTGCCGCCGCCCATCGCGAACTCGGTGGTATGTTCTAGAGGCTCACCGGTTCGTTTCCAACAGGCTCGTTGATCTTCCGCGGTCGAACGACCGACCCTTGGCTGATGATGCAGACCGGTACCCACATGAACACGAAGAGCCACGCCCACTGGGTTGCGATCTGTCTTTGAGTTGGCGATCCTGATTTGTTCCGAGAGGGCTCATCTCTCCATCCCCAAATCAACGACCTTGGTGGCCAGTAACTCGCGTGACCGTCCTCATATCCTTGGAGCAATCTGCTTGTCGGGCATTTGACGTTTCTATCCTGAGTGAGGCTGTGAAAGGCCCTTTCACGATGGTCCCCCTATATCCCCTATGTCCCCCTATCCCCTACCATAACGCAACGCCCATGGACCGCGCCGCGCTATACCCAAGAACCCGCTCCGGTGCTAAACTTTGTGCCAAGTATGCGGTGTGCGTGTGTGCGTGTGTGTCTGTGTCCGCCCTTCCGTGCCGCCCGGGACACCGGGGCCGGAGAGACCATCGACTCCCCCTCGACGACAAACAACCGCCACCCATCGCGAACCAGACGACCAGCATCCCATCCCTCCCCCTCCCGCGAGGAGTTTCGGCCACCGTTCTAGACCGCTCACCCGCGACGCGGCGGAAGATGGGGGTTTTTTACCCCTCTAACCCCCCTCCCCTCCCCTCCCCTCCCCTCATGCCCCTCACGGTAAGATACAGAGCTCCGCGGCTGCATGCAGGACAAGACAAGCTGCTGGGATTGTGTGCACCATGTATGTGGCCTAAGTGGTGCCGGCTTTGTGCTACTGAGAGATCTTCCACCGACATCTCAGCCCGCGTGCCGCCAAACTCTCAGCCTCTCCACTGGGAGTGGGTATGTTCGGCCGTTCCAGCTGGTGTCTCGCCCGTGCGTGCCAGTGATGACAAAAGGGGGCCTCCCCTGCCGCACCTTCGTACTATGTAGGCAGGCTTCCTCCAGCGTGTGTCTCTTCCCACGTCTCTCCTTCTCGGCTTGCCTAATGCGGACATCCCGAGCCTTGATCCGTTTCTTGCTCGCAAATAACCCCCTTTTTTTTCACTTGGGGAGGGGGTTTCTTATTATTTTCTTTCGAGTCACCGTCACCGATACTCCACGATCCAGATGCCTCCCATCACCGCTCGCTTCTTTTCGCCTTCCTCCTCCCAGAAGCACCATGCCACATGAAAGTCGCCCCCCTGAGGCCCCAGTTGCCATTCTGTCCGTTCTCTCCGTCCCTCCAGAACCCCCCTCTTTCCTAAGCTGGATTTGGTACGGGGACCTGAGGAGACGAAACGGAGGTCCCAGTGAGCCAGATCCATCGCCAAGGGCACGCACTGCCTTCACGCGTCGCGGCGGATCCAGAAAAACGATAGCCCATCCTCGCAGGATGGGTGTGGTCTAGTGTGTCAAAAGGCGCGATTTGCCCGCGCATATCTCTCTCCTGCCTAGTGATGGTAAGGTCCATCCCGACGACCTTCGAGCCCAAACGGCGCCCTTTCTCTCCCTTCCGTCCACACGCATAGCGTTTGCAAAGATAGTGTACACCTCCTTGTGTTGTTCGCGTTCTGGCAATCTTTGACCCATGATGTGCGCAAGGGGGCTGGGCAGCATGCCCTGGGCCGGGGAAGAGCTCCGAGCTGTGGAGTCTTTTTCCTAAAGTTAATTTTCTTGTTCGCCCAGAAAGCAAATGCTGTGTATCACGACTCCACCTAAAGTCCTGAACAGCGAGAAAGGCAGAGTGAGCTGGAGGGAGAGAAAGGCGGGCTGGGGTACCAAAATTAGATGAGACTTCGTCTCCTCCACTCGTCGAGACCGTCGAAACATGGGCGGTATCGGGGCCATCTTGCGGTGCGTGTGTGTGTGTGTGTGTGTGTGTGTGTGTGTGTGTGTGTGTGTGTGTGTGTGTGTGTGTGTGTGTGTGTGTGTGTGTTTCGTGCCCACCAAAGGACGACGGAAGTTGCAGCAGGCCGTAGGTACGCCAGCAGGAACTCTGTTTTACAGACGGTTGGTGATGTGTCCGTACGAATACCAACCACCAAGGTGCGCTTGCCAGGGAGGGGGTACGCGAGTTTGATCAACGGCGGACAAGGCCGCTAAGCTTTCCCGGCGCGGCACGTCGTCAACTGTCATTCCGGCATTGGACGATCTCATCCGGGCCAGAGTTCGGGATGAGACGAGCGTCATCCTGGGCGAACATGCAAGAGGAGGGTTCATGTTTACCCGCTGCGCTACTGCGACGACCGGGGGCGGGGGGGGGCAAAAACAAGACCCTCTAGGTCTCGTTACTGACGCGAGATAATGCGAGGCTGACTCAAGCCGACCTGAGTACGGTATGTAATATGTCGTGATTCAGCGGCGCATGTGAAAATCCCGCTTTCCCATGTGACGGTCCTCCCATGAGCGTCATACGGTTGACGCGCGTCGTCGACATCTGACCGTTTTGTCTTCCCCGTACCGACAAATCCTTCGTGTCAAAGACTTTCCCCCTCCAAAGGCCCGAATATATTTGGAAACCAGACCCGAGACCCGCGCATGACGCATGCAAAACAAAGTTCAGGCGAGGAACAGGTCTACGTCGATCGACCGGCCGGCAAGAGGTGGGAAACTATCGACCGCTCACGCTCACAACACGGATAGCTCGGGTTTTTTTTTTCCTTCTTCTTCTAACTTTTCGTAACCCTCCCCCCCCCTACGTGATGTGAACAAGGTTGCCAGGCCGTGCGGCGGTCAACCCGGATACGATACCGTCATTTTTGTCATTGTTCACTGAACCCCCCATGCTCACGGACTCGCGGCAACCTACCGCACTCCCGGGCCCACACCTGATATCAGATGCGTTTTAACTCTTTTTTATATACTTTTTTTCCATGTAAAGAACAAAAAAAAACCATAAAACATCAGGGAGGGCACCGGAGCTTCTTGCGGAAACAAGACAAGCGGCCCCCTCTCATTTCGTTGATTGCCTGGTCGATGGTGTCGATATCGATAATGCGTGTGATTGGTTGACGCGGCCAGACCGTGCCTACGGTAATATGGAAGACGAATCCGAGTGAAGCTATCGCGAAGTATCAGCGGCGACGAGACGGTGTGTAGCGGGACGGGCCTCTTGAGGAAATGACGGATCATCATGCCGTGTGGGTAAGGCTGCCACCCCCCCCCCCCCCCCCCCCCCACGCCCCATCACGTTGGGTTCGAGTCTGTCCAATTTCCCATCGCAGCCCAACGAGACATGGCCCCCTTGTTCATCTCGAGGCTTGTTCGAGGTGCCTGCTCGAATAGGATAGCATGAGTCGGTTACAAGGCGGTGGATCTAATCGGGGAATTTCCAATCCCAGGGGGGTCATGTATCGAACATCTCCCTTGGAATCGCCGGCGTTATAGAACTGTCATGGACAGGAGGCGAGGCGAGGATGGTGTCACAGCAACGGCCGGGCCGTGAGTTGCTGTCCTCTGGTTTAACTCAGATGCTTCCCTGGTTCCGGCCCTTGTCTGGCCGACGACTTCACCGTGCGCCAATGCCAGCCTACTACTATGGAGTTGCCATGTAATCTGGGTTCAAACAAGGAGTCGAGTAATTTAATGATAAGGCTCATGCATAAACTTTGCCCGCGGTTGAGGGTACTCACCGATGGTCCGATTTGATGAGCCGGACGGCAATCGTTATCTTGCAGTTCCTGTGGGATTGATTAAATATCCTGGGAGTTTTGTAACAACATGATCTATTACAGGACCATCGTGGCCTCCGATCGTTTACACAAATGGGTGCTCCATACAGATTGATAGCTACGTGAGCGAAGTGCGTAAATTCTTGACTGCCGCCGAACAGAGTGATGGCAGACACACACGACAGATAGGTTGTTAATTGAGTTGTAACGCCTGAGAGCGAGTGTTTGTACGAGCATCCCGTAGTTATCGCCAAACTGTTCTTTCACTTTGACACTATTGTACTCTGCAAAGCGAGAGGGGCGGTACTCGCTGTTCTCTCTTCGGTTCAATCCACGGTTCTTAAGTGGCCTGGGCGGTTTCTATGGTTAGGGTTGAACACACACCATCTCATTAGTTCGATGAACCAGAGGCACGACGAACCCCTCCACTGGAGAAACATAGGATGTCAAAGAAGTTGTATGTGCCAATGACACTTTCTGCTTATTCTCAACGCAGATGGCGACAGTTTGAGGTAACCTTATAATCCAAAAAGGTAAACCTCGAGTCTAATTCAAAACTTAAAGGGGACTGGGTGAGCTTGAGGCTGATCGTGACTGAACCACGGAACATCATGAAGTAAGGTGTCAACGGCGATAGCATCATTGTACACCACAAAGCCGCCGACCATAACCCACCAAGCTCTTTCTCAGAAATCTTTTATCCTGCTCATGACTATGCGTACCGTAGCATTTCCTCTTGCAAAAACCTATTCTTCATACCTCATTCCAGGTCACTGCGTCAAATGCCATCTCAAACAGATCATTCCGGATGAACCGTTCCGTTTCCCTACCCTCACAACCACAATTCACCTCGTCTGCTATCAAACACACAATGTTTAACTACATCATCAAACGCCTGGCCCCCCGCCCCCCCTCCCTCGCCCTGCACCCACTGTCTGCCATCCCTTGGGCTACTACATTGGGCTTGACGCCATTGAGAGATTAGGCCGAAGCAAAAGGCACCCTGCCGTTTGATTCGGGCGCGCACGCTGCATGGCGATTAGACAGCAAAATCAGCTCTGCATGGACCGAATGCATTTTGTGGAAGAGGAAGCGGAAGATAGCCTCGCCCTAGAGGCCGAGTTCGATACGATAGTGCAAGAGGTCTTGGACCCGCACTACAGTAATCTCCAAAGCCTCCGCAGAGATGCCTGATCCAATGGCAACGTCCTCAAAGTCAAGTGGTCCATGAAGAAGCTCCAACGCCGCATCAAAGATCTCCAGAACCAAAGATTCCGCAACCGGACCGGGCTGAACCTGTGGTATGAAAAGAGGGCGAGTGAGTGGATTGCAAGTGACCACTGCTGCAACTATCATTTCGGGGAGACGAGATGTCGAGCTATGAGACACAGATTGGGCATGGAACTCGGAGGAAGGAGGTGGCATGCCACCGTGTATCCAATGAGGAGGAACATGGAGTCGTTATAACAGGGTATTGAGATACCTCGAGGAGGATTTGGACTAGGAGGCAGTCATTGAGGGCGTTGCCATAGGCCTGGGCAAATAATCTCAAGCTAGCCTCGCGAAATACCAGTTTAATTCCGACATGAAGTCAGAATCCCGCAAGCTTCCAACCGGATACCTCGTTTCCAAATACCCGAGCCTGTTGAAGAGGCGCTGGTCGCTCAAAAACGACTTGGGCACATCCTCCTCATACATGCCGATCTCGGTCTCGCCCTTCATCTGCCTCAGGACCAAGCCGGTGTCGATGTACTCTGCGAGCCCAAAGTACTCTGCATCGTAATGATACCACACCATGTAGAGGACCTTCACAGGCCGGCCGACGGGGAAGTCCTCCGCGCAGTCGGGCCGGAAATCGTGCACCTCCTCGTCCGAGAACCTGCCCACGCTGTCGAGGACGATCGGGTATCTGGTCTTGCCGTCCGCCCCCTGCGCGGCCGTGACCACGCCCTTCCTCAGGTCTCCCTTGACTTCGATGGAGTGGTACCTCCGGGCCATCCAGGCGGCGAAGGGGAGCGGCTGGTCAAAGGCTGTACCCATGGCGTGCGTGATCACCGGCTTGATCATGATGTTTCCGAGAAGCGGGTATCGCGCGTATACGTCGTTCTTCACCCTCGCGTTTCTCGTCGACGCCCACGACCACGTCGGGACGAGCCAGCTCTCGTGTCTCGCTCCTGGTGGTCCGTCGGGGTCGACGTACCACATCAGCTCCGTCTCCAAGAAGTGGTAAAAGAGGCCGAACGAAGACCGCAAATGCGTCCACCTCTGTGCGACCGACGTGATGCCGTTGATCGCCAAGAACTTGTCGGACCCGTAGGTGAGGGAGAGCGGGGAGTAGTTGGATAAGAACGACCACCACGTTTTGAGGAAGAGCCGGTAGTGCGGTCGTAAGGAATCGTCGAGGTCGGACACGACGACTATAAAATCGCCAAAGGGGTCCGCGTCACCCTCTCTCAGGTTCTCTGGATAAAGCTTGTAGGGCTTCGACGTCCTGCCGCCTTGGAGAAAGACGGACAAGTTTGCCGCGTGGCCTGGCAAGCCGCCTGTGTAGGCGGGGTATCCATCCGAGTCGTACTCGCTGTCAGGATGCTCTGGTGGTTCTTGCGCTTCCTCGGAATTGTTGAAGACGATGTCTTCTGCGCGTCTCGTTGCGTCCTCCGAGTCGAGACGGAGGTCAGAAGCGGCGGCTAGGGCGGCGTTAGGATCCGGCTCCGGTGTACCGTTGCGAAGCACGATTTCATTGGGCGTATGTTGAGAATAGGATGTCTCCTGAAGGGCAACATTGCCGTCTTCTAGGTTTTCTCCCTTCTTGGAGGCGGCCTTGTGCTCACTGCTGCGACGCCTCGGCCGGGTATGCGCCAGAGCTCCCGCGTCATCCTTTGGTATGTCTTCTGTTTCCTCGATATCGGACTGCTCGTCCTCTGAACTCTCAAGAGAGTCTTCGTCATCATCGTCCTCGATTTCAGTCACTCTCGCCGGTTCCTCTTCTTTCAGAGGCAAACGCCAGTCTCTGAAGTAGACGAATATGTCCTTCGGGTGGGTTGGAGTCTCTTCCGCCCCTATCGTCCTTCGGAGCTTGAGGTCGGGGCTCGCGACGGAAGCATCGCATTCGCGACATTCCCAAAGGACGGAGTCCCCTGTGAAGATGAGCGACCGCGGCGATACCATGCGTTCCTGGCACACCCAGGCCCGCGAGTCGAGTATGTTGGTGCTCCTGAGGTCGGAGCCCCGCATGGAGAGTCCCGAACTGCTATCAAGGCCGTCGTTCGCAGCAATCGTGTAGGTCGCGTTGTCGTAGATAATGGCCATGCGTTGCGCCTCATTTTTCCAGTCTTCTTTGTCGTCCTGGACGATGCAGAGGGAGTCGATCCAGAGGTAGGACAACCCCATCCCCCGAGCGACGTAGACTGCATCGCGGAACGTAGCCGGCAACTTTGATACCTGGACACCTGTCTCGATCATTTCCTTCAGGTTCCCCAAGGTGGTGCAGCACGTTTCGTGGGCGCCCCATCGATGGCTGAGAGCAACGTATCGCGTGTCTGGGCTCAGCGACTCGGAAAGTTGGAGTCGAGCAATGTCGACTTCATCTGACGCCGGATGGAGGGAGAAGAAGAGGAGACGTGTTGCAACCAGTCCCTTCCCCTCCAGGTCGCTTATCAGCAGCGAATTGTCAGTACAGAACATGTGGGAGCAGCAAAGTGAGGCAATACCGTTGTATTGGCGATAACTGTGATGTGAAGCTAACTAGGAGTGGGCTGCCTACAGTAGGCAAAGGCTAGCCAAGAAGGAGGTAAAGGTAGGTCATGTGACCCATAGGCTCCTCTACTAACACTCCCCCTTAGGCTCTACTAGCCTACTCCTGTATATTATAATAATAGTAGCAAATAACTGCCTAACCTTAAATCCTCTAAATCTAAGGAGTTTTTAAAGTATATAATAACTTTAGTAAAAGGCTAGTAATTTACCTATTAGTCTAGTAATAATTTATCTATATACTAATAAGCCTATATAATCTATATAACCTATTATCTATATAGTCTATCTATATACCTATATAACCTATTAATCTAATCTATCTACTATACCTAGTAGTCTAATAAAATCCTTATATTTATTTAAGGCTAGTGCCTTTATAAGGCTATTAGTAGCTATCTTAGTACTATAAATAAGTTAAAGGGTAATATTATTATAGGTATAAACCTCTTAGATTATCTATTTATATTAGATATTAATACTTTAAGTTTATACTTTATTAAAGGGATTTATAACGTTAACTATTATATTAGTACTATTAGTAAAAAGGATAGTTAGAGTATTTAGTAGTTAGCTAAGGAGTTATTTAGTATAGTAATAAATTTACTTTATAGTAATTACTACTAGCGTAAGGTTAATAAACTCTGCCTTAGTAAAGCTTAAAGTAACAAAGGTCTATTACTTAGACTTCTAGGCTACTAGTAAGCTAGTAAAGTAGACAATATAACTACCTATAGATACCTACAATAGGTAATTATTAGTAAAAGAAGTATCTACTATAGTATAGAGGCTAACGTTAGTAGAGAGGTTAAGTCTACTAAATAAGATACTATAATAAGTAATACCTTTAAGGTAGTAAAAAAGGTGCTTAATAGCTACTTAATAAGTAAGTAATAGGCTAGTATTAGCCTAAGAGAGCTTACTAACTACAAAAGTAATATCTAGGTATATACTAGTAGCTAACTAGTTAAGGCAGCTAGTCTATTTAATATAGAGCTATTAGTTAGCTTTAGTATAGTTATTTTTACTTTAAGTAATAAGAAGGTCCTAGTTAGTAGGTAATAAGGTCTTAACTAGCTAAAGGTTAGTATAACTAAAGTAATAAAGTATACCTTTAGTATACTTATATTAATTAATATAAATCTATTATTAAGCAGTGCGTTTAGGGGGTAATTTATATAGTTAAAAGTGGCTTATTTCTTCTATCTATAGTGCTATAATCTACGCTCCTTAAATATTGCCTCTCTTGGTGAATTCCGCCGCAAGTATCCATATTCAGGAGCGAGGGTTAGATTAATAAGCGACGTCGTTCCGGAGAGCGGTGTCAGTCAGCAATATCCTGCGTGACAAAATCTTATTAGCAGTAAAACACTAGATCTAAAAGCTAAGAAACTAAGAGGCCTTACTAAGGTCCTTTAGTAGGTAGACCTTAGTAAGTATATTATATACCTTCTTAGTTATTTTAGTAGTAGGTGTAGCTACTATATTATTATTAATATATATTAAGGCGTAGGTATTAAGGTCCTTGTTATAGAAGAGGTAGATCTCCCCTTTAACTAGCTAAAAGCTAATCTTCTCTATTTTGCCTTTAATAAGCATAAACTACTATAGTAGTAACTTATATAGACTATAGAGGGCCTTTTAAAGCAACTAGACCTTATTATTAATAGTAGTATAACTAGTAGGTTATTTAACATAGACATTAGTACTAGTAAAAACAAAGGTAGTAAGAAAAGTAGTATTAAAGTTATATATCTTATACTTTAATCTATAAAGAGTAATAATAGTAAAAAAAAGATAAATAGTAGTAGTAGTAGCTATAGCTATATATACCTCTTATAATAACTAATTACCTTACTTAAAGTTACTATAGACTACTTATTAGGCCTTAAAGTATATAATTTTATTATTTATGTTAGTTTTAATATTAAATACCTATTTACCTAGTAGCACTTTAGCTCTAGTTAAGGGGTTAATAAAGGTATATACCTCCTTATTATTAAACTACTAGATCTTAGCATTATAGGCCTATTTCTAATAGTGCTAGTGTAGGCCTTTCTTTGCCTTCTTAAAGGTAGTAAGTATATTATAACTAGTAGATAGTACCTTTAATAATATAGCTACTATAAGGGTACTAATAAAGTAACCTTAACTATCTTAGTGTACCTAAATATTAGCTAAAAGATATACCTTTTTCTTATAGTTTTAGATACCTACTATCTTATAATAGTAACTAGGTAACTTTACTACACTAGTATAATATAGGTAACTAGTAGTAATATACTTAGTAGTAGATATAGTAGTAAAAGCCTTAATAATAAGGTCTAGCTTATCTTTCTTTATAATAAAAGGAAGGTAGTTAGCCTCCTATTAAATAACCTTATAAAACTTATTATTAGTAAAAGTATTATCTTATTTATCTAGTTATTTATTTATAGGCTATTTATTAGTAAGTAATAAGGTAGGTATAGTAGTGTCCTCTAGAGGTAAAGTTATATAGGTAGTATTATTAATACACTTACTATTAATAGTGCTACTATTAGTTTAGTTAGCCTACTAGTTTTATAAGGTCTTAGTAACTAGTAAGTAAAAATTAAAGACTTAGCTAGGAAACTAAATCTAGAGGTTAGGCTTATTAAAAAGTATATTATAGTTAGTATCTACTAAGATATTTACATTAGTAATAAAGTAAAAAATAGTCTTCTCCTTCTTTTTATAAAAATAAACGTTATAGTAATAGATAACTTACTTCTAATTAAAGATATAGATATAGTAGATATAACTATATAAAGAGCTATAGCTAACAAGGTAACCTTTTATTATATAGGGTTCTATTTTTATAGAACAAGGGGGGCACTTACTACTTTTCTTGTATATATATATAATATAACTAAAGGTATAAAGGTATTTAATTTAAGAAGGTTCTTAGTTAGTAGTAAGGTTAAGCTTATAGGTAATAATCTTATAAAGGCTTATTTTACCCTTAGTTAACTATAGTAGGAGGTTAAGGATCTACACTATAGTGTTAAGTGTATAGTCCTAGAGATCCTTTAGTAAGCTATTATTAATAAGTAAAGTATAGGTAGCCTTTATAAAGGTATAGCTAGTATATTTAATTATACTATTTATTAATAAAGTATAAGTAGTAGTTAAGTAAAGTTAAGTGCCTTTAAAGAAAAGGTTATAAAGCACTTTCTTAAGCTTAGGTGTATTATTATATATTTAACCTTTAATTAAGAGACCTATTATATTAGTAAATATAGTACTAAACTTCTTAATAGTATTAAGAATAACCTTATAGTAATAGGTTTTTAATAAAGTAAGCTAGTAATAACTACTATAATAGTTAAAAAAGTAAAAGGTATATTATATACTAAGTTTAAAAAGAGGTTTAACCTTAATAAGGTCTAGATAGATTTTTTTATTTATAAAGGTAAAAGGTAATAAAGTATTATAGCTAATAAGCTCTATAGATTTAGCTAAGTAGTAGGCCTTATAGTAAAAGTTATTAATTTTTACCTATATAAATTATATACCTACTTAACAGTAGGCCTTAATAACCTATAATAAATAGGCGTAAATAAGTTAGTAATATATTATCTTAAGGGTTAGTTAGTACTTACCTTTAACTATAGCTAATCTAAGGGTAGTTACTATAGGTATAATTAGGCTATTAGTTATATAAAGGATATAAATGTCTAAGATCTATTTAATAGTAGCTAAATAGGCCTTAGATTTAGTGTTAATAATATAAGTAGTAGTATAGTTATATTTAATGCCTACCTTATATAATTTACCTAGGCTAAAAAGGTTAGCTAGGCTAAGAGGGCTATACTTAATATCTTTAATAGTCTAGTTAATAGTCTAAGTTAAGTTAGCTAGATCCTTTGTCTAGAAGAAAACAGTACTACTGCCCTCTAGATATACCTAATTACTATTTACTATAGTAAAAAGTTAAAAGTTACTATAGACTATATAGAATATAAAGTAAGTTAATAAGTTAAATATAGGGTTAAAGTAGCCTAAATCTAGTATAATATTAAAGGTAGTAATAACCTTATTATTAATAGCTATATATACTATATAGCTAAGCTTTATAGCTAGGCTAGTAATAGAGAAGCTACTAAGAGCACCTAAGGCTCCTTTAATAAAAACAAAGGTTAATAATAAGTTAGATAATCTTTCTTTATAATCCTTATTATATATATACTTAGTTATATAAGTAAAAAAGGTATTATAATAAGGATAATTAATAAGAACTAGCTTTAGGTAAGTAGTCTAGCACTTTATAGTAAAGTAGTTTTTCTTATAATAAGAGTAAAAACTACTATAGGTAATATTCTTAGTAAAAGTAGTACCTTAGTTAGCACTAGAAGAGGTTACTATTAAATTAGTAGTATTTTTATAGTATATAATAAGTCCTATTTTTTATTCCTTATCCTAGGCAAAAGTATAAATAGTCTTAATAACCTTTACCTAGGTAAGTGTCTTATTATTATTAGTATAGTACTTATAGGTATTTAGTAGTTACACCTTAAAGTAGTTAAGCATAAGAATAGCCTAATAGTAGTTAAAGTTTTTACTATAGAGGCTAGTAATATAGCTTTAGAGGTATTAAACCTTTGTAAAGGCATTATAAAGGGTTTTATAGTCTTAAGTACTACCTTTACTAAACTTATTAATAAAGGTAATAATAGTATCTTTAGATACCTTAGGGATAAACTTCTTAAGTGTTTTTATAAGAGTATATAGGTTACTATTATTAACTTATCCTATGTTAAAGAGCTTAATAATTATAAGGTTATAAGTGCTAATAATAATACTATAGGTAGTATTATATTTATTCTCTTAATTCTTATACTTATTAGTATTAATTACTAGTTAAAGGACTTTATAGTTAATATATTTCTTAACTTTAGTAGTATAAAGTAATATATTAACTAGGACTTACTATTATAACTAGTTTAACTTCCCCTTTAGCTTAAGAATAGACTATATAACTATTTAGTAGTTAACCTTATTAGCTATAATAGTAGTTAATTACTTATATAAAGGAGGATAATATAATATAGATAAAAGTCTCCCTTAGACTATAGGTAGCCTAATAATATATTAAACTTTATATATTTCCTTTATAGGATAAAGGGTATATCTAAATTATTATATAAATTACTACTTATTATTAGACGTCTAAGTAAAAGGGGATATAGGTAGAGGTAGAAGTAAAGTAAGAGTAATGTTTTAAGTTTATTACTTATTATTATTATAAGGTAATATAACTATAGTAGACAGGTAGTTAACAGTAATATAGGTAGCAACTATAATATTTTATAGATATTACTATAGACTATTAAAAAAGCAAAAAAGAAGAGGTAAAGGTAGCTAATTAATTAATTATAAAGAAAATTAATTAGTATTAACCTAGGCCTTATAACCTATAGGAGCAGTAAAGTAAAGTAATACTGTTGTATTAGTAATAACTATAATATAAAGCTAACTAGGAGTAGGCTGCCTACAGTAAGCAGAGGCTGGCCAAGAAGGAGGTAGAGGTGGGTCACGTGACCCATGGGCTCCTCCACCAACAGAACACGGTGCTATGGCGTGCTGTTTTACCACATGACGGGTGGTTCGCGCCGCACTCTTCCAACCACTTCGTGGCCAACGGAACGACCGTTTTGTCGATAAAGTCGTCTTGGCCCATTGCCTCTGCTTATGGGAAAGGGAATCCGGTGCTGTAAGGAGGCTAGGTTTACGCAAGAATGATACGACCGCGGTTAGGTCCCTGGTCCACTGGTAGCTGTCACTTTACTTATGTTGCGTGCTTCAAACCAAGTTGATGAAGCCGTGAGCCATGGCACAGCCACTAAGCTGAGCAAGACTTTGAGCAGGCTGACTTCGCTAAAGTTGCCTGCAGAGGCGTAGCGCCTCTTTTGGCTGCAGCTGATTGATCGTCGCAGGCGAAGTCGAGAAACGCCTCGCTGCCGCGTCCCTCTAGGTCCAGGAAACACAAACAACTCACGTAGCCAGGATTGCGATATAGGGTGCATACCAAATAAAAGTAAACACGGATGACACGCCTCATGTCCACATTTGGAGGTCGCCCATTGTAAGTTACCGGCTCGGCACTATTTTCAGCCCCCCAATTGAGAGCATTGCCACAGTAGTCCGAGTGAGGTCGTGATCCTCAAACCATTGTATTAAGTGTCGGGCATGATACTTGTACCATGCTTTCTCTCTCACTCTGTTAGACTATTATCATCTAAATGTGCGACCTTGGGAGAGACTGCTTTGTGTGTTGAATGAGATTGTGGTCTTCTAACCAGATGTATGACAAGGTCCGCGACCACAACACGACATTGCCAACAACACGCGTCTATCTGACGTATACAGCATACGAGGTTCATAGGTGTGCTTATTTCATCTGTTCATGATGACAAGCACGTTGAAAGATTGACAGAACGGGAGTTCCCTTGGTTCCAAATGCGCACGTCAAAATGGAGGCATATGCGGGGTTCGAAACAAGTATAATTCTTGAGATGTCATTAAGTTTACATTAAACGTTGAGCTCGCAGCTTCCTGATAACGCCCTTTTGAGCTTTAGACTTTCGATTCGAGAGTCATAGGTACGTCAATGCCGGTGCAGATTATCAATACATGAGGAGTAGATACCCGTATGGCTATGGGCTCAAATTTGACTCCCCAATTTAGAAGGTTAGGCTAAGACATCCCCTCCAAGAAAGCTTAAGTCGATATCTTGATGCCTGGGATGAACAAGTTTTTGAATTAAAGCTTACACTCAAACGCTGTTGAGTCACGAGAGCATAGGTACTGCGCCATTTTCGGTCAAGAATTACATCAGGCGAACTGGTTCCAGTAAGCGCCATCTGTACAGGGAAGCCGTGTGGTGTGCAGCTATTGACTGCTAACAATACCTAGCCCAAGCCTCTCTGCTCGGAGTTTAGGAGCCGGCGGCACCGACGACGCGAGGCCATATATCCCGAGATTTCCGCGAAACGCCGATGTTTCCCACAAAATCGTACATCATCTGCTTGGAATAATCCGTCATGACTAATGCATCTGGTGCGTGAATAAGCTAATGATTCCAGTCATGTACAGTGCACCGTAGGACGGCACCACTGGACAAATCACGAGCAGAGTGTTATTATGCGGTGAGCGACTCAATGGCTCTGTGACTATACCCGACGAAAGAATGGCCAACTGCCGCGTTTGAAGAGCGAGGCGGGTCGAAAAACCAGGGCAATGCCGGCATAAGGCGCCCAAAGAGATCGGCATGCCGTATCGCCCGGCCTTGCTTTAGCCTGTCGCTAAGTGAAAGTGTCAATAGACAGTTCGGTAGGTATAGTCACATTAGCTGCTCAAGGAAAGCCGAGTGTGGAGGCTATGGCTTGCCGAATATTCTGCGAAAGGCAGCGATCTGCGTCATGTTCAACCCTGGGTCCCTGACTCAATCTGGCGAACTGTAAGTGCTGCCTTTCTGCATAGGCTATCGATGCCTCAACAAGGTCGACATATGGTTATAACTGTGCCGTGACAACCGTGCGTGGGTCTACCGCTTACTTGTCCGAGCCGCCGTAACATTCGCCATGGAGCTACAAAAACGAATCTACGTCATCAAAGCCATAGGCGCCCAGAGCCTCAAGTGTCAAGGCCGGCCTACATGAGGTTGGAAAGTGTGCTTACCCCAACGAAAATGACTAGAGCATGGCTGGGAGAACGGGTATCTCCGTCAGAACTGGTTCGAACAGCTAGCTATTTCGTCTCATCTAGGAAACTCTGATTACTATAATAGCATCAAGGGCCCCAAGCTTCTATGAATTTTCTTGCATCAGTTAACGACTCATTTTGGAGCGTTATACCTTGCCTCTAATCTTCCATTGTTCCCAATCCTTCGAACCACTCCGTGTTGCCAACATGATCCACATACAAAAGCACGGCATCTTCCTCATCGGCCTGCTTGGAGCTTTGCCCAAGGGGAATGCGATTCCCGCTCCGCAGTAAGCACCCATAGTGAGAAGCAGGCTAGATGTATCAACTGACGAGGATCTCAGAATGGGAGATTACGGTGAGAATAAGGGGCCTGTGGGAGGTGTCAGCCCACCCATTCCATCCGTGACCGCTCCCACTGGCAGCCTTAGAGGAGACGCTTCGCTTCTTGGGGGTAACGCCCCGCTTCCGGACCCCGACAAGTCCGATTCTGCCGTTGTCAACGACGTTCAGCTTGTCCCTGGCCAGAAAGCTGATGGTAAACTCGGACTTTACCTCAACTTTGACGGCGTCGATGTTCCCCAGCCCATCCGCGGAGAGCTAGGCTCACCGGATCCAGGTCCAAGTGTGTATAAGTCTCGGCGAAAGTGGAGGGGGTCCTGGTAGCCTAGAATGTTAACACGTGAGTCTCGCAGGAACCTATGCGTACGAGAAGCTCAACCCCGATATCTTCACCCCGCCAGGCACCGATAAAGGCGATGTCGAGAACGCGATGTGGCCCATAGGACTCTCCCATAATCGTCTTGGGAGCCAACCAGGGGCCGGCTGGGCCCGCCAACAGAACACCGACGTGCTTCCCATTGCCTCGCGCATGGCCGGAGTCGACATGAAGTTGCAGCCCAACGCCTATCGTGAGTTGCACTGGCACAGGTCGGCCGAGTGGGCACTCATGCTCAAGGGTACCTGCCGTATTGCCGCCATGAATGAGGACGGTAAGAGCTTTGTCGACGACATAACCGCTGGCGTAAGTCCTCGCTTCTGCATAACTTCAAGCCGCACTATGCTGACTAGCCCAGGACGTTTGGTTCTTTCCCAAGGGTGTCCCTCACAGTATCCAGGCATTTGACCAGGGTGCCGAATTCCTTCTCGTCTTTGATGACGGAGCATTCAGCGAGGAGGACACCTTCCTTGCCTCTGAGCTCTTCCTCCGAAATCCTCTGTCGGTGCTTTCAAAGAATTTCAAAACAGATGTATCTGCATTTGATAAAATACCAAAAGACCAGCTCTATGTAAGTTCATTAATGTGGTGGATATGGCGTATTTTTTTTCTCCCAAGAATTACAGGACTAACACAGTAAAAGATCTTCAACGGCACACCCCCACCCAAGGACATCCAAGAACAGAATCAAACCTCTTCGGCTGGGTCTCTGGTCGGCGCAGACTCCTACACCTACCACTGGTCACAACAAAAGCCGTACCAGGTCCCTGGAGGCTCGGTCAAAATCCTTGACCCTCAGACATTCCCCATCGCCAGTAACTTCTCCTCTGCCCTTGTGGTTGTGCAACCGGGGGCCATGCGTGAGATCCACTGGCACACCACCAGCGACGAGTGGAACTACTTTCTCCAGGGGTCCGGGCGCATAACAATCTTTGAAGCTCCCGAAGCCTCTCGCACCTTTGACTTCACGGCTGGCGACATCGGCTACATCAGGGTCGGCGATAGTCATTACATCGAAAACACCGGCACCGAGGACGTCATCTTCCTCGAGGTTCTCCAGGCTCCTAGATTCTCAGATATCAGCGTCGCTCAGTGGTTGGCTCTCACTCCCAAACAGGTTGTCAAAGATACTCTTAACCTCCCGGATGATGTGATTGATGCTCTGCCTCGCGAGAAAGAGTTTATCAAGGTCGGGAACCCTAACATGACAGCGCTGGCATCCGGCGAGAAAAATTTCAAGAGACGCTTCCAGGCTTAGACTGATCAACGTCTCTCGAAGATACCATTGTAAATACACTTCTTGCAAACACTTTTGTGCGATCATGATTTTAGCTTAGAAAAGATATTGATGAGACACCTATCTTCGAGTATCGAGTAGCAAGCGTTATTAGCTCCACCTCATCTGTAGGACTTTTTGGTGGCGGTGAGGGTGGTCCGTTAACGCTATGAGCGTTTTTCGCTCTTCTTCCCTTCGCCAAAGCAACTTCCGGACTCAAAAAGTCTGGGAGCCCTATAACATTCTCTAATTTCCATCATAAAATAACATTACATGATTTGGTAACAGACATGATAGCCCCCTCAAAAATGTACTTTCCTCGCTTGTATCAGGGAGTGTCAACCATTCTCTCGACCCCTTCACGCGGAAAACAGCTCGATTTCTTAATGTGGACTTTGCCAAGAACATTAACCGTGTAGAGAGACATTGGATTCTTGGCGGCTTCCAATAACATGCCTAAAAGGCTTGGTCACCGTGGGTGGGACTACCGGCTGGGGTAGTATCAATGACCCAGTCAACAGCCGAGCCTAGCTCAGTTTGGCAGCTCCTCAAGCTCGTGCGGCCTTGGCAGTTATGATAAGCTTAAATGCTCCTGCCACAAGCTCCCCATTGCCCCGAGAGACGCAATGCCGGTTGTGGGCTCTCTGCTAACGGGCTTCCTGTTTCTGTTCGCTTTCAATATCGTCTGTGGCGATGGCGGATGCCGTCGGCTAATGAGATGCCTGTTTGGGCCTACGGGTCCTGCCGTCGTACAGGGGCGATCCCCCATGCCCAAGAGAGAAGAGGGGAGGTATTCCGATGGTCTGCTTGGGCCCGAGAGCGAGCTCTTGTGCATTTAAAGGAACTCCGTCTCCCTTCCTTGGCCTGAAGAAGTTCTTGGCCGTGTCGTTGCATCTGCAAATCTCACTGTCAGACGTTCCAGATCCAGAGTAACCTGAACGATGCATCTCACCGCTGCTTTGGCCATTCTCGCGGCCTCCCAGGTCGTCCTGGCTGCCCCGGCCACCGATGAGGTTCAGGTCAACCCTGGACTCCGCTTGATCAAGACGTCCGAGGCCGATCCCGGTACTTGGGTCACGGAGGAGCAGAAGATCGAGAACTACGTCAACAAGAACATTGGCTTCATTGACATCACCGACATCACCGTAGGTTTGATGAACTCCCGCGAGGTCAATGTTATCGTTTATTCACAAATTACAGGATGTTGATGTTCTCTCCGTGCTATCTACACCGCCAGAAGCCGTCCTCGAGGCCAGGCAGTCCGTCTCATACCCTACCAGGCTGTCCCACGTCGACGAGGCCAACTCGTTGATCGCCAAGGTCTCCACTTCCCAGCCTCAGTCGTGGCTCAAGACATTGACCGAGTACGTCGTCGTTCCCTCCACGATTCCCTGGCTTATGTTCTGACCATGCCATAGCTTCTACAACCGCTACTACCGTTCCACCTACGGTACTCAGTCTGCCACCTGGTTGTTCAACCAGGTCAAGTCTGTTGCAGCAGCCAACTCTGCCATCACCGTCTCGCAGTTCACCCACTCGTGGAACCAGCCTTCCATCATCGCCAAGATTCCTGGAACCAGTTCTAACCTGGGTGAGCCAAGGACCTTATGCTCTCTTCGCTGCCCGCCCGTCCGTGGTAACTAACCTTGCCCAGTGATTGTCAGCGCCCATTTCGACTCCACCGGCGGTTCTTCCACTGCCCGTGGCCCGGGAGCCGACGACAACGGATCTGGTGTTGTCGTGATTCTTGAGGCTCTGCGCGTCCTCGCCAATGCCGGATACAAGCCCAAGAACACCCTCGAGTTCCACTTCTACGCTGCCGAGGAGGGCGGCCTTCTCGGCTCGCAAGCCGTCTTCTCCAACTACAAGTCCGCTGGCAAGAAGGTGCTCGCCGTTATGAACCAAGACATGGCTGGGTACTCGCCCTCTGGCAAGGTCTCCGTGTACAACGACTACGTCGACGCTAGCTTGACCAGCTACGTCCGTCTCATCGCCACCCAGTACACTGGCAGCACGCCTACCAGCGACACCTGCGGATACGGATGCTCCGACCACGCCAGTGCTCGCGCCAACGGCTTCCGTAAGTTTCGAAAGCCATGGAGCGCGTACATTCGTGTTTTTCAAACGGCTACTAACCTGTGCCTGTAGCCGCTGCTTACGTTTGCGATGAGCCTGTTGACACTTCCACTCCTTACATCCACAGCTCCCGCGACGTGAGTAGCCTTCTAAGCCACCCCACTGATTTCAGGTTGTTCTAACTGGTATTCACAGAGCTACGACACCATTCAATGGCCCGCTGTACTTCGCCACTCCAAATTCACCGTTGGGTTTTTGGTCGAGGCCTCATACTTGTAGATGTTTTAGTGCCTGAATAGGCAATGCTAATATGTATTTAATCAGTAATTGACCTATCACACAAGACGCCCAAGAAAACTTCTGTCACTTGATTTATGTTTCTCATAGTGAACTATATGCGGACTTCCACCGTTTCGTGGATGCCTCGTACGGCAGTTCGATTAACGGGGCCAACTAATGAATAGCGCGGTAATTACGAGCCATGGTAGCTCGACGAGTTATCTCCTGAAACTCTTGGCAGAGAGCCAGCATGAAAATGTCGGTCAGTTGGTTGGCAGGGCGATTTGAGTTATCATATATCATGGTACTGTGGAAGGGCTGCGTTGGCCATGCATCTCCGTAAGTGCGCCCCACATAGTTTATAGGGTGCGCACATCCTGTCCTTCAGAGGAATCATGAGCGAGCCCAGAATCAAGTGCATCTCTGTTCAGAAACAATCTGGTCGTATTCTATCCCCAAGGCAGACTTGGAAAATCAGGAAGACATCATGAGCCATCTCGAACGAAACGTAGCAGCAGCAGCTGCTACGTCTGCCATGCCTGAAGGCGTTGAACTAGATGCTATCGAGAGTTCGACACCCGGTTCCAGTCTTCGGGATCCCGAGTCAAGCCCGTTGGCGTGGCTTTGCGTCTTCGGTTCATTTTTGTTTCTATACCCATCCTATGGTAAAGCTCGCTTCCTTCTGCCTATCTATATGCTCACCGGGCTGATGGAAATTCTAGGTTTTATGCAATCTGTCGGCACTGTTCAGTCCCATCTCCAACAAACTCAGCTCAGTGCGTACTCTTCCAGCGACCTAGGATGGATTATCGGAATCTTCACGTCTCTATGCTTGTTTCTCGGCATACAAACAGGGCCCCTCATGGACGCTTACGGCACGAAGTTTCTGGCACCTATTTCCGTGGCACTATACGTCCCAGTATTCTTCGCCATGGGGGAATGCACGGAGTACTGGCACTTCATCCTCTGCCTCGGAGTGCTGGGAGGCATCGCTGTCGCTCTCACCGCAACCGTTGCGATAGCTGTTATCGGCAAACTGTTCAGCCGCCGCAAAGGACTTGCCATGGGTGTTGCTCTGTCCGGGTCTTCGTTTGGAGGAGTCACTATATCCTTGCTGCTGCGCTCGATTCTGCCCCGGCTAGGTTGGCGATGGTCCATGAGAGTCATGGGTCTCCTCGCGATGGGCACAATGACCCTGGGCATGATGTGCTACCTGCCATATCCTCGCCTATCCACGTCCGTTTCCGGAGCGACAAGGGGCAGGAAGGGGGCGATGGTCAATTTCTCGGCTTTCCGATCACCTCTGTTTGTGTTCATCGCCACGGGCGCCTTCCTTATCGAATTCGTCCTCTTCGGTGTTACTGGCCTCCTCCCCACGTTTGCGATTGCCGCTGGCTTTGGTTCCGAGGTCGGTTTCAACCTCATTGCGATCCTCAATGGCGCATCGTGCCTTGGCCGCATCACGACTGGTATGGTAGGCGACAGGCTGGGACACCTGAATGTCCTACTTACCATGATCTCCATCACAATCCTCATCACGGGCGTTATTTTTGTGCCTTTTGGAACGAAACATATCGCGGCTTTGTATACCTTTGCTGCTTTGTGGGGCTATGGATCTGGATCTTTCTTGTCCTGCACCCCAGGTAATTACTTTCGCATACGCTTGGACATGATTAGTATCTAATGTGCCGGTAGTTTGCGTGGGGAAGACGTGCGAGCCAAAAGACTATGGCAGATATATCGGTAAGTTTGCTTCCTTCTCGACCCCACCGGCTTGTTTGAATCGTCGGCTGACATGCATCGCTGAGGTACGATGAACTTCTTCGTCAGCTTCTCGCTATTGGTAACCGTTCCTGCCGGTGGACAAATGCTTGAAAGTATGGGCGGGATGGCGCTCTCGGGCTTTTACCTGGCGGTCATCTTTCTTGGCGGCGGCTGCTTCTTCGCCGCCCGTACCTTGCTGCTGGATGGATGGACCATCTTCAGAGCTATCGTTTGATCTTCAAATATTATGCGGAATCTCTTGAAGGATTCTAGGACTGGGTTGACGTAAACCACGTGCAGGCTTGCAACTAGTAGGGATGCTAAGCTGATAGATGTTCTTTTGACTGTTAGTTTCCCCTCTTTAATGCACACCATGGGTATTGAGTAACTGTTTCCGTCGTTTCATATCATGGCACAAGCTTGATGCAATGGTACTACGAGTGTGCTTAGTCTCTACATGTTTTGCCTTTCAGCAACGTTGCTTATCTTGCTGTCCACTCTTGACAGTACTTCTCTGTTGCAACTTTCCCGGCCTTCTTCGAAGTGTGGTAAACACTTTCCAGTAACATACTTGGAAGATAACAATAAGAAGAAGAAGTAGCACTGATGGTGGGATGTGACTCGAGCTGGTCCACGACTATGACCAGACCGACAATCGGAGGATTGGCAACGCCCCTCGACAATTCCTCTACCTTTGCAGAACGGCCACCGGCCCAGTGTCTTCACTTTCCAGGTCCAACTACCTTTGGGGACTATTCAAGCGGCGCTCGGTGCGGGGGAACAGCTATCTCTCCAAATCACAGCTTATCGTCAGAGATGATGGCCACATGTGCCGCCCTCGGCGCTTCGGGCGCCCCGTTGAAGCTAAAACCCAGATAATCCCAGAGGAATATCTTATCATCGGAGCTCGGTTCCCCTCATGCCCACTACCAACCAAGTAGCCTACCAGCCTTGACATCATGGGAGGCGCCGACGTTCTACGAACGGCCCATCCTCTCGAGCCACTAGGCCCAGATGAGATCAGCCAGGTTAGTAGACAATTCTCGAGCAGGCCAGGCGTTGTTCATAGAAAAAGGAAAACAATCCTAGCTGATATTTCATCTCATCTGACAGGGCATAGACGGCTGCAATCGTTCGAAATCAAATGACAGTGCGCGGATTTTCTTTAGGGCTATCTCTCTGGCAGAGCCACCCAAGAAGGAACTGATAGATTTCCTTGAGAGTAAACATGCCAGGGGAACAAAAGTGGTGTGTTCGGCATGGCAAGCCAGAATCCAGGCGTACATCAACAATGATTTGCATGGGATCGTTGTGAATTTGGACTCTTCAACCGTTGCTTCGGGTACCACTCTCCATGGGAAGCATTCATATATCGATACTGAGTTCATGGCTCAGGGACTGCCGAGGATTGGGCGGCTCAGATTCTCAGCGGTAGCAAGAAAGATGTTTCGCCGTGTATTCGCGTGTCAAACAATAAAATGAAGCGAAAAATCTCCAGCCAAAGCCTGAAGGAGAACAACAATCAGCTGTCAACCAAGACGGTTGCTAGCAATGCTCATCATAGCATTTCTCTCTACTACCGAGTCGTGCTCTAGGACCTCACTGACTACGTTAGCACTTAGGACCCTGTGTATATTGTCTATTTGTGTAGAGAGAACACTAATTATTGTATTTTCTAGAATAGATACTTTGCGTTTTACCTAGTGAATATGGCAAAAGGACTAGTTACTTAGATTAAGAAGAATATGGCGAATGACTGAATTTGCTAGAAACTTAGTCTTAAGGCCCTCTTGGACTTTGTCAATGCCAATCACCCGGTTGCGAAAATGAAATACACTATTAACGCCGATAATTTGCCGTAATACACCGTCAGTGACAAAACCCTCTATAATTGTCTATTCACTAAGACGAAGGAACACAACACTTGGGCTAATGCAACTATTCGCCTTGGAACTGGACTGATGTACATCAAGTCCTACGGTTGGGACCGAGTTAACATGTTGAACGATTGCATTCGCGGAGACTGTGCACCAACATATAGGAATCGCCGTTAAGGGAGCAGAAGAAGCAATTCACTGGCTCAGCAGATCAGTAAGCAAGCGCTGCCAGGTCCCGCAACAAGCAAGGAGAGCAAAATCCCGGTAACCACCTAGTCGTGGGTGGCGGTACCGCCGGAACCGCTCCCGCTGCTCGCCTAGCTTTAGATCCAGCCAACTGTCCAGCCCACTACACCATTTCTCTCATCAAGGCACTTTCTACGAGATCATCACCAGCAGGACTCACGTTCCCGGTACAACTTTGAAGCTGTGAACCCGACTAATGTGGGGATCCTGAACTCCTTGGCTGCCATCCAGATCAACACGGTGCCTATCGCTGTGAGTGACTTCCCTTCTGGCTGGTATCGTTGTTTCAATTGCATATTGAGCCCACTTTCGCCCTTCTAGGATTGCAATGGGAGCAAAATCGACCATGTCCAAGGTGCTACCTTTGGCGGCGCGTGAGTTATCACCTCCCCTTTCGGAAATTCAATCCAGAGGACCATCACCTGGCGACTCATAGATAACCAAGTCATAGCACTGTTTATTTTGGAACTGTGATGACAAAAGCGGATCTGTAATTGCCACTGCGTAATTACGGCCTATATCACGACAGGAACACAGAAAGCAAATGGCTTGCCCCTTTTTCTTTTCGCGATGAGACGTCAGTCAATGACTGGCGTCAATTCCGTGCACTGAACGAGCCGCGGGATTGTGGTCACATCAGCTGACCCGGCAACAATTTTGATAATTGTCGCTGTGACGTTCGCCAACAACTTGGGCCTCCGAACATTGCATAACCGGCCTCTTATCCGCCTGGGAGCATCGTCTAGAACTGATAGGAAGTGTTACCGCGGCGCTGGTCGCTCCGTCTATCGCAACGCCAACTCGGCAATCGGCGGAGCAGGTAAAGGAGGTTAAATGAGGCTCGTCTATCTCACACCATCGTCGTGGCTGGTTCCGAGTTATGGCGTTTAACTTAGACCATAAGTGGGGACGCCCTCCCCTTGTTTATTACCCGGCTTGCGGCACTTGAGTTGCATTATCTACCGAAAGAGGCAAAACCAGAGGTGGAAAATCCCGGCGACGGCCCGGCACCGCAACTTACTATATTGGCGGAAATTGTGTAATGCGCACTCTCTTGAGCCGGACGAAATCCATTTTGACTATGCAATTGTATTTACCCCGAGAGGTGGAGAGAGCGAGTGGTAACGGTAAGACCGATATTGGAAGCACAACCACCCCACCTTCATAGGTATGTGACGAGTCAGTCTCGCCCGAGAGGAACCCGAGGAGGGGGAGGCCGGGCGAGTGAAAGCCGACGTTTTATTCGTCGAGGTTGAGTATACTGGGGAGGCACTGGCCAACAATAGAACTCGCCATGACAAGGTTGTGCCGGCAAACTTGGTTGAAGATCGGGTTTGCCCGCGAATCCTAGATCGTGCGGAAGCTTATTAAGGAACAACCGTGGTCCGCCTCTCTGTATTATATGAGAGAATGCCCTTGATTGAAGCCTTTCACATTCTTGCAACGCCTCTTCGCCTACCCGAACTACACACTCGCTCGTCTGAACTCTCTCTGCCGCCACCGACAACATGCGCACAAGCCTCGCTGTCGTGACCAGCCTCCTGGGCCTGGCCTCTGCTCTTCCCGCCGACGGTAACATCGTCAACAAGCGCCAGTCCATCCCCACCATCTACCTATGCGGCGACAGCACCATGGCGCAGGGCGGCGGCGGCAGCGGCACCGAGGGCTGGGGGCCGTACCTACAGTACTCTTTCGATCCCAGCAAAGCCAAGGTTGACAACCGCGCCATCGGCGGGCGCAGCGCGCGCTCCTACACGCGCGAGGGTCGTTTCGACGCCGTCGCCGGTCTCGTCAAGGCCGGTGACTGGGTCGTTATTGAGTTTGGACATAATGACGGCGGTTCTCTTTCGCCCACCGACAACGGCCGTACGGACTGCTTTGGCGATGGTAACCAAACCTGTCAAACTACTTACAAGTGGGTTGCCATCGATTGGTCTTGAGCATCATTACGATGATGTGGTGAAAAAAGTATGCTGACACATGTTTCTAGCGGTGTCGCCGAGACCGTCTTGACCTATCCGGCCTACCTCAAGAATGCTGCAGAGAAGTTCAACGCAGCGGGGGCCAAGGTGATCATTTCGTCTGCGACCCCCAACAACCTCTGGGAGAGCGGCACCTTCTATGCGGGATACGACCGCTTCTACTACTATGCCTGGTAAGCCGCCTTCCCCCGTTCCCGCAGATGCCGCCGACGACGATGCTGACATGGCCGACCCCCCAGGCTCGCCGTCGAGCAGCTAGGCGGCCCGTCCAAGGGCTACTACTTCGTCCCGCACGGCGAGTACGCGGCGCAGGCGATGAAGAACCTCGGCGCCTCGACCGTCAACGCCAACTACCCCAACGGCCACACCCATCCGGCGCCCTTTCTCTCCGACGCCATGCACAAGGCCTTCGTCCTCGGCCTCCGCTGCGGCACCAGCACGCTCGCCTCGCTGGTCAAGAACACGACGGAGTCACTGACGTCGACTTACCTCGGCCCCTGCGTCGACAACTACAACTCCACCGTCCATGCTCTGCTGCGGTGAGTCGTCTGCGACTGCACATGTCTTTGTACGAAAACGCATCAGCTCGGATGGATTCATGCACATAGTTGAGGGGTTGGGTCAGCGGAGAGTTGACGTTAGCTTTCTAACCCCCAGTAAATACACTATTAATACACATGTTTTTGTTTGTTCGTTCAGATGGTCGCCGTGTCCCTGCGTCTCTGTTGAAAGCATCCCTTATCTCTAATCGGCTGCGGTGGACTAACCGAAAATCAAGGGGGTTCAGCCCTTTGGACGACGCCTAGTAAGGCAAGGGGGATCCCGATCCGGCATGTCGTAGGTGCTGTCTCACGCATGATTTATTCTCGTCCACCAGGTAGCCAGCCCTGTTCACGTCAGCTGTCAGCCTAGCTGAAGGAACTCGCTTCCATCAGAATGTGCTCTTTGCATCGACGGCTGCAGTAAGCGAATTGAGGATGGCGGAGCTCACGGCTGACCCGAATGCCCATTATTGGCCAGGTTACGGCAACAAATTCCTGAGATATCCCAAGGACCGGAATGCCGGCATACAAAGGGGGACCGACTACTCATGGGTGAGTAAAACTACGCCGCATGTCTCTAAGGATAGAATTTTCAAACTCGAGGGTCTATTTTCCTCCCTAATCTCGCAACTGGGCTCTCCACCAAGGTCAAAGGTCCCCCAAGAGCAACTGAGGATCGCGACGAACCCCAAGGCCGAGGTTCGGCAAGGACACGTACCCACCATGTCTCCA